GTGGGAACTGTAGCACAGCACATCGACGCCCATCCAAGGTTCTAGACTCCAGCCCTTGTTTGTGTGCGCGCGCCGTGTGTGCCCCATCAGGTCATGAGCCTTGTGCTGTTGGCGCACACAACGGGGGCGGCGGACGACGGATGGGAATACCAAGCCCAATATCCATCCAGACCGGAGACAATGACGAGGGGGTAGAAACCGAACGAATGCTTTGGAAGGAAAAGGAGTTCAGGGTTTTCTCGGCCTCGTGGCTGTCGATTTTTCCTTTCTTGCACCAGATCGCTGAATTCTCCGGCCATCTTTGTCAGATCGAACATGGCTGTGCTAGCCAACCCTCCATGTGCCAACGCTAGACTGGGGCATTATTACTGTCATGATGCTCGTTTCCCGGGCGGGCTTTCGAGCTGGCCAAGTGGTGTGTTTTGATTACGTTTCTCTGGCCATCATTGTGTAAGCCAAAGCGGCCACGGCGGCTTGAGCCTGAACGGGCCGCCCTCGCCGCGCTCTATCGCGGGAAACAGCATTGAATCCTGGACGCTTGGCAACAATGAAAGAACGTGTCTTGTTTGGGTCGTGTAATCCTACCGGATGGAGCTGGGCAGGCAGATCATCTAGGTACCAGCCACAGCCAGCCAGGCCCGGTTCCTAAGTCAAGCGAAACACGACACGGCGCCTGCTTGATGAAATGAGGAAGCGTCAAGCGCCGGGCGTCCGAGGGCCCCGGGCTGCCTATTGGCTTATCGGGCGCAGGACAGAGTGACGAGAGGGGGGCCGGACATGTTTGTGTGTGTGTGTGTGTGTGTGTGGATATTGACGATGGTGTGCGTGGTGGTGACTGGCGCACTCAGTGGTGGCATGGGCATGGCATGGAATGGTGGCAGGAGCTGCGTATGCGTGCGTCTTCTTCTTCACACCCTCTCGCCCTTTTTCTGGCCTGCTGGCTCTTGTCTCGGAAAGGAAAGGACGGGAGAGGATCCAGCTGGCCATCCATGCTTGGTGCCTGCAGGTTACTGTGTGCCTACCTGTTCTTGGAGTTACCTAATGCACCGTATTCTACAGCGTGTGTATGCCAACCCACTGGCTGCGGTTTCTGCGGTCACGTTTCCTGCATTCCAAACCTTCTTTGGCCGCTTCGGTTTCTGCCCCGGCTCTGTTTTTGTTCCGGTTTCGGATCCTGTTTTGTGCATTTTATTATTATTACGGTATAGCACCGTCTGAATTGACAAGCAGAGCATTGGCCTCGCTGGAGGGCTCCAATCCCAAAATAAATGGTTGATTGCCCCTGGAAAGACACACACGCACCCGGCGGCGCCATCCTCCCTCATCTCGACTGCGAGACACAGGCGCCACCGTCCAGGAAGAATGCGGGTACCTTGTTTCCCTCCCAATCCGATGCCGATGGGGGCAGCGCGCGGCAGGGAACGGACACGAATCCCCATTGGTTGAAGAAAGAAGAAAAAAAAAAAACTCCTGTCTGCCCATGGCGTACCGCCATCGGGCATGTGCGAGTGCTGGATGTTTCCAGCCTTCCTTTACCACCTAGCCGGTCGACGACAGGGGGGCTATGCGTTGTGTGCTCGCTGAAGAGGGCAGCGATCTCCGCTCGATGCCTTACCTAGTTCCGGTGCCAGGCGTCGTCTTGCCTTCGGAACCTCGATTCCAGCCCGTTCGCAAAATGGATGTGTGTGTGTGGGAATCCCAAGGACAATAGAGGCTGCAGGGGGGCAAAGCTGGGCGACCCGCCCCCCACCGTCCCATCCGTGCCAACACACCAGTCGAGGGAGGAACCTTGCCCGAGCTAGGCAAAGCAAATCGAATAAGTAGCCGATATTGATTCTGTATTGGAGGGACAAGGGAGAGAGGGGCCAGGGGGCATGCGCCTACGTTTTGGTAAATACCTACGTGATTCCGATTCGATCCAGTTTGATTCGCATGGACAGCAGCTGCCGACCCCTCACCGCGTAGGATGTAGCTAATCCCACATCGCGGCAATCATCATCATGCTTGTCTCGCTGCTCTAGCGGAGACGGCTAATTTGGCCCAGTGTCTTGCCTGTTGACCGTGTACCCCAAAATGTGGCATCGCAGCGTCCCCTCGTGACACTCCTCTGGCCCAGCCAACCCCGTTTTCTTTGAGGGGAAAGCACACGCAGGGGGAAGGATGCGCATGTCGGTCGGTATACATGCTGCACTGTACGTCCATGGGCCAGGAGAAATCAAGCGAGGGTTGTCAAAGGCATACCAGACACACACTGCTCAGAGCCGTGTAACTGGTAGCTGCCCTGTGCCAGCGAGATTCCGCCCGTTGCGTCTAGTTTGGCCCCTCTCTAGGTATTGAGTCCTTCTTTTGGTGCACGCCGACAAATCTAATCGTGGCCCATGTACGGTGAAGACCGACGCGGCGTGCGGTTGGGTCGAGGGCCCCATCAGTCGCCCTCATTGTCAGGTGTGGGGGAGGGGGTAGGGCAGACAAAGAAAATGGAGGAGAGCCAGCCCCGAGTGATGCAACCATGTGGACGGACTGTCGGGCGGCGCCGTGCGCGGGTGAAGTGCGTAAAAAATGGTCATGGATGGAGGAGCCCTTTCTCCGAGAAAAAAGAAAACACATCAGGTGCCAGGCCGCCTGCGTACGCGGGCACACGCAAGCGCGCAGCCCGTTTTCGCCATGCTTTGCCCGCCTCGTTCTTTGTCTCTCTCGTCTTTTCGTTCGTCGCTTTTGCCTACATGCGCCTTTTCTGTGGCGGATGGAGGTGAGGTGAACACAGACGTGGGATAGGTGGAGTCTGCTGTGCTGAGAGGAAATAAATGGGTCACAGAGCCGTTCCTGGAGGCGGCATTGTGGCAGCGTACGAACGGCAGAGAGTGGGCAGAGAGCGAGGGCACATGGATGGGAAGGAGGGGAAAGAGGGGAAGCTGAGGAATGATAGAGCCAGATGAGGACGGTTCTCCATATTCCAGCGCGCTGGTAAGCTGACGAGAAAGACCCAGTGGCCAACTGGTTTGCACTGCTCGACGCATCACATCCCCCGTTACCTGTATTCAGTTCTCTGTAAGGAACTCACTTGTCACTGAAACTCACTTTGGCAGCGTTTTCCAGGCGCTTCAAACAAAAACAAAAAACAAAAATAAAAAGGCGGCCATTCCAAGGCCGAGCGAGAGCCCATGCAGGCAACTGTGGCTGAGCGACTTGTGGACACACACGCCCGCACGTCCGCCTGGCACCCCATCCATCCATCCCCGGCCGCTGGCCTGGTCCAACAGAGCGCCTGGGGTGCCCCTATCCACGCACGGTAGCCCGACCTGGCCGGGCTGGCCCCCCTCCCTGCTGCCCTGGGAGGGCGGCGGCGCTGTTCCGCTGCTCCTTGCCGCTGCTCTGCGTGGGATTCCATTCAAATTTGGGGGCGACCTCTCGCTGCTGCGGCCTTGCAATTTCTCCCTGTGGGAATGTCATTTTGGGACATGTCTGGTACGGGCAGGTAGGGTAGGCGGTAGGGCCCATGCGGTGAGGCTAGCACTTGTCGCCCTCGCAACTCGATCGTAGAAAAGGATAGGAAAATAAAACAAGCAGGCAGCAAATGGAGACGGCCAACTCTGCTCAGCGGAAAGAGACAGAGAGACAGACCTGGCTCGCCTTCTACCAAAAAGCCCGCAATTTGTCACCCTTCAGACAATTTGGACCTTTGGCCAAGGTTCGCTGGGAGCCTGGGCTTTGCCCACTTCTGGACACTCCCGCCTACTGGATTTGCCCGCGTCTCAGCTGTTTTTATATTTTAGCGATTATTCCTTTTTTTTTTTCGTCCACATCTCGCGAGCAGGGAAGCTTCGAGGTTCGGGCCCAGCTGATGACAAGTGGGAGAAGGGAGGTACCTCCCTCCCACACCTGCCACGGCCGCCACCCTCGGACTGGCCACATGGATCGAACTTCCAACTGGCTGCATTGAGCAAAGCCCTCAACTTGCAAAGCTGACTGGCTGCCCAAAAAATTCCCATAATATTATCCCTGCCCGCATTTGCTGCCACCACCCGATCTTCAACAAAAAAAAAAGAAAGAAGGAACACTCACATACCACACATACCACATCAGCGAACAACCACCCCACCGACGGACACGATTCCAGCAATTTTGCCCAGAGACATTTTGGCTTTTTGGATTCTTGCTCACTTTCCTCCTCCCATCACTCTGCTGCCCCTTTTCTCTGTCTTGCTCGCCGCCGCATTCGGCCCCTTGAAGACTCGTCAGCTTTGCCCACCCTCGCCCTGGCTTGTATCCCCTCGCGATTTGGACGCGAGGAGAGGCCTCTCGCTGTTATCTACTCAAGAAGACACGAGGGATATTCCCTCAGTCAGGTTTTGGCAATGGCCTCGTCAAAGGTAGAAGAAGGTTCCCGTCAACCGGCGAAAATGTGACTGTGCTGCGGGCCCGGAGCTGCCGTGGAGCCCGCCATTTTACCCATGTCCAAACGAGTTCGCGATGCACCAGGACGAGCAGTGCTAACACACCCGTGTTACTCGCTGCCCTGCCCAGGAAATGCAACAAACCTCCAGGCCATTGACGCATCGTCCCCCGATATCCTCACATTCGAACGTCGCCGGGCTCCCAGGTCGGCAATCGCACTCGAGAAACAACTCCCACTCGATACTGGGCAGCTCGCTCAATGCAACCCACCGTATAACACGCCGGAAGAGCATGACGAACACGGCCGCCAACGTCGCAGCCGTCGCGGCCGTCATGGGGGAGGTGGTGGCGGAGGGCATGGACAAGGCTATGGCGCTTCCAATCACTATAAACAGCGGCCGTCGGAACACTATGTCGAAATCGGGCATCTCGCGCGCCATGCTCGCCGCCAGCCTCCCGTCACAGCCGCCTGTCGCAGAAGCCGGAACTGTCAAGGCCGAAGGGAAGCCAGAAGGACAAGATAGTGCAATCGACGATGGGGCCTCGACAGACGGAGAGACAACCCTGCAGGATGGCAGGTTACGCCGAGCCAGTGATGGCCAGCCCCTTGCCAAAGAGGGCAACAGCAGGAAGATGAACCGCGTCGAGCTTCGCTGCGAAAAGTGTGGCAAGGGATACAAGCATAGCAGCTGCTTGACCAAGCATTTGTTTGTGCCCATCCCCTGTGCCTCCCCACACTTGGTGTTGCCACGGTCCGCCGCGCTGGTCGCGTTGAAATCTCGGCTGTCTCGGTGTCGGTCCGTTAAAAGTGTTGCGAATGCGCCGTATTGACTTTTTTTGTGTCGTCCGCCAGATGGGAGCATACCCCAGAATGGTCCCTTACCTCCAAGCTGCTCATCTCGAAGCACCAACAAGTCCAACTCCTCGAGGCCGCGTCCGTGCTGGTCACCATGAACAACGGCCTCAATGCCTCGGCATCGCCTCCGGACTCTACCCGGGACTTCTTCGCCAGTGACCAAGATTCGGCCTCGCCCACCGCTTCCGGGTACTCGGATACCCATAACGACCGGAGCTCGGCCGACACGACCCCTCCGCCGCACATGGACGCTATGAGCACGACTGATGGGTCCTACCGTAGCACGTCGAAGCGGGATAGCAGCGGAAGCGTCTTTTCTCGCTCGTACCAATCGGCCCCTTCTGCTAGCTCCCTCGCGAGCAGTGCCCCCAATGGCTTTGCTTTCAACTATGGCCATTTCCGCCAACTTAGCCACGAACACCGACCGACGTCGTCGGGGAAGAACGCAACAGGGCAGGATGATCAAGAGTTGGCCGCGGCTGTCGAGCTTCTGAGTTGCAGCTTCGGGAGCAACAATGGCACCCGCTCCATGCAGGTGCCTTATGACGCTCCGCCTGTCCCACCGGTTCCTTCCCAGTATCTGGACCAGGTTACCGGGAGCAGCTTCATGACTGCCGGGACAAGCTTCATCAGCAGCTTCCCCAGGGGCGCCCCCATGAGCTTCGAGCGTGGAGGCGGCAAGTGCGCGATGCCACGCCGCGACGGCGCCATCAAGACTGAAGAGAGTGGCGATAGCGTCATGGGAGACGATGACGACGATTATATGCGATCGCGCGCTCGGAGCGACGAGGACGAGGAAGGCGTGTTCGGTCGCATGGAAGAGTAGGGAGGTGGCGCCATATCGGCCTCGGTCCCGGTAAATCTCGGCTCTGAAGGAGGAGCAAGAGACTGCGTGGGCGAGGCGTGGCCCGGCCTGGCCCTGCTTTCCTTTGTAAGTCTATAGTGAATACTGTTTCGGAGGTGGTTCGCTCCGCCCCTGGCACTCAGCACCGAAGAGTAGAGCGCGGCGTCGTCCTTGGCTAAAGGATGGGGCACGCAGCCCTACGAGGTTAAAGTGAGGGTCGGATGAGAGCGTCGAGTGAACGCCCGAGACAGCCGTTTTTTTTCAATACAATCAAATATTGAGAGCATCGACGCGGCACACTGGTGCATGCATACGACTACCTGTCACAGGCTCTTCGGTGATGATCCCGAGTAGGCCATGTTATTTGACTCTTGCTGTTGTTGGTTGCTGGTTTGTTTCTGGAGCTCTGCGCAAAGGAGGGTTGGTGGTTTGATGGGAGGCGGGCATCCATTCATAGGATATTATGTGTGGAAGACATCAACCTAGAGGCCGGAGATGAATGCGCATGGCAGCAAGAAGAGTGCATGCAAGCCTAAGTAGGGAAAAAATGAAGATGTATGGCGTCAAAGAATCGCGATAGGGTAAGAGCGAGTAGGTAGAGCCTCAAAATGCAGGTGCAGGCCTACTTTCCGAACCAGGCACAAAACATGGAGGAAGTCATCCGATGTGCTCGGAGCGACAAGAACGAACATAGGCACGACGGTCATGTTCTAAGCTCGGCCAGCCATATGATACTTGGGTTTTCGAAAGTTTGGTGTCTGTGGTGAGGGAAGAAAGGGAAGACGCAAGAGAGAATCAGGGTCTAGGCGAAAAGAGGGAACAGAAGGAAGGCGGGAAGACGGACAACCTCCCCACCGGCAAGTGGATGTCGTTTTTTTTCCCTCCTCGCAGGACGGGAATCCACTCCGTTGTTTTTGATGCCGTCGATGGCGGGCGGGCGGGGTCTTTCGATTCTGCTAGGGGGAAAAATGCATTGTAAACAAGGAGCGAGCAGACATGCAGGTCGGAACCTTCCCTAAATGCAATTTAGCAGCTTGGAAAATAAAATACAGGAGATAGAGCATGATAGGGATGGGATCGGTGTTAGTTGGGAAATACGGATGCAACGAAAGGCGACGGCTAGGACAAAATCTTAGAACATTTCCCGGTGCCGTCTGCTCGCAACTGGTGGGTATTCATTGCGCTGAAGAGGAGTGTGTAACCCCACTAGGCGGGGCTTGATTGGCTGAGCAGGGTAGCTTGTGCACGGTTGCCTGGCCGAAAGACAACTCGAGCGCCTGAACCCGAAAAACGACGTCACTCCAGCCCGTTCAATCAAACTCGATGACGATCGCGACCGCGACGTCGCCTTCAACAACAGGCAAGCTGTTCGCCACACTTGTTCATCGCATAACATCGCATCACATCGCAATAGGCGCCGCAAAGTGCCCTGCGGCAGCACCAGCTCCCAGCCCCGATAGGGATCTACCGGTGCTTGGGCGCTCTCTTGGCGTTGGCCCATCGCGGAATTGACGAGCTGCGGCGCAAGGCAGACTTTGAACGGGGGGAGGGGGACAACACCAACCCCAGAACGGACAACAAGGTTGCCGCGCGTGAACAGCCGGCGGCTGTGGCCTCTCCACCAGTCATGGACGCCGCCGACAACGTCCGCCATATTTTGGGGGCCGAAGCAGCAACGCCGAAGCCGTCGCGGCTGCCGCACCTGCTGCGCTTCCCCATCGTCATCGTCCTCAGCCTCGGGTGGTCCGCCGTCGGCTACTCGCTCATCTCCCAGTGGACGACGAGCGACGATGTGGCGGCCTTCGGCAGGGTCATATCCCAGGGGGAGATTCTGCTGCTCCTCGCATGGCGCGTGTAAGCCAACCCTTCCTGCCTACGGGCTTCTTCAGCTCGGACGAACATGAACCCGCAGGCTTGCGGATACGTCGGCCAGAAGGTGGTGCTGACAACTTGGTAGGTCCGAACTCTGTATCGCGTGGTACGGAAACTACGATGGCTACGATCTAGCGGCCTTGAGCACCCTCGCCTACGGTCCTATTGTAAGTACTTGCTTAGACACCCGGATCCTCTCCACTTCTTTCGTGTGACCGTAATCATGTACTACATTTTGAAGATTCGCTAATCCGCGGACCAGGTCTTTCTTTTCTCGAGCTTTTACCGCGTCCGGCCCTGGACCCTCGCTGCCAGTCTTGCGGTCGATGTTCTCTCGAGCGTCGCCCCGTTCGCGCTGCTGCGGCCCTTGTCCCCGGCGCACGCGGCCGCGGCAACGGTTCCGAACCGGGAACTACTGCAGGATGGCCCGATCAAGACCTTCACTACTCTTTATGCAACGGCAATATATGCTGTAGTCCCGGCACTCAGCTACAACGCTTGGTTGCGAAGGTCGCTGTTGCTCAACTTTACGGGCATCCCGTCCATCGAACCCTCCTTGTCTCTGGGCGCCAACTTTTTTACCGGGGCGCTCTTACTTCTCTTTGGGTATTCTGCGCGCGTATTCGTCTTCGACGCGGCTGTTGCTACGGGCACTACCCCCGAGGACGCGGTCGTGGAGGCATTCGATCCCGTCAGCGCAACGCTTGGCGAGACTCTCTGGCAGAATGTGTGGGGATTCCGCACGCAGACAAAGGTTGCGATTCGTCGGACGCTTGTGGTTGTGCTGGTCAGCTTCATCCGCACAACCTCTCAGTGCACTCTCACCGTCCAAGGCGTCGAGGTTTGGGGAGCCGCAGCGTACGCATCGGTCTGGGCGGTTGCGTCCATCGTGGCTGGCACCGCTATGGGGTTGGTCATAGATTGAAGGAGGATGTGACTTCCAGCGTGGAAACAGTCTCCTACAGGTCCATTTACGCTTCTTACATTCTGGGAGCCTGGAGCAGAGCCAGGCACCTATAGTTGTCTACTTGACATATGGGTGTCATGAACACACGCCGGGCACCCGGGCACTCGGACACTCGGGAGATTTCCTACCTACCGAAATCTGCGTCGTTTGAGCTTTCAATCATAATTATTCTGATGCCTAAAAAGAGGCAGGTAGTCGGGCTCTTGCCTGATTTCTAAGCAGCACTTTCAGGCAGACGCTTCGCTTGGGATCGCACCAGGCTTGGTTGCACAACGCCCGAACATGGCGCCAAACTCTGGCCGCATCGTCATATTTATTTCAATCTATCGTTTACACTATGGTAAATGTTTTGTGGATGGTAGGGCGCAGGCAGCAAGCCTCGTCTCTGCCGCAAAGGGACAGGGCGCATGGTAAGCTGAGCATTGAATGGTGTGATAGCCCCGGGGAAACTTGCCGCTGTAGTTCCTACAGCTTGTTCCTCTTGCGTCCTCTGCTAAGTTTTTTTTACCCGCTTCCAGGGAAAGCTTGGAACATCGCCTGTGGAGATGCTCGACGAGGGCTGGAGCGGCTGAACTCGCTAGCTGCTCTCAGCCCTACAATAATACCCGGCCTTGGTGGCGCCCCCAGCAGCTTGATTCAAACAAAGCGAATCAGGGATGATGGTCAGCCTGGTGCGCCCTGGCTGGGCATGCACCCTGTGGGTTCGGCTGAAGCGATTTCTGCCTTCCTGTCCACATCCGGAGATTTATCTCGGTAGCTTCGCAAACCGTCACATTGGCAAAACCACGAGATGGCCACGGTTCTGTTCCACATCCTGCTTGCCCAACGGCGGTGGCGCCCTCCCCCCCTGGCCCCGGCAAGATCGCGGGATCGGCGGCCTCAACTCACAAACCCGCACTCGCCGCACCTGATATTGACCGTGATGTGCATGTGTGGTGTGTGTGTGTGTGGATCCGGGAAAGGGCACCATGGGGCAGCGGGCACGTCCTAGGTGAACGGGACTCTTGACCATTCGTTCGCCCCATGTCCTATTCCTGGCCTCGAGCCTATACCGAGCTCTCCAGTCAACCACCCAAGTGCCCGCCTTAGGGCGTACCAGACCGTCTCCGCAGACCCCCCCCCTTCACAAAAACTCTCGCCGCAGCCCCGCGCATCACCCAATCAAAAACTTGCGGATGTAATAGACCCTCCGTGTGTGAGGTAGGTTCCCCCCTCCCATAGCCGCGGCGCGGCGCTGCCTGGGCTAGCCGCATGGTTGTCCGCGGCGCCAAGGAATCAGACGGCGGAAGCCTCCGCGAAGGGGAGACCTATCTCTCCCTGTTGCCCTGTACCGCGGCGTGACTCGACCTGTCACGTCATGTTACACGCTGCGCTGAGAGGCTGAAGTAGTATCGGGGGGGAGCTCCCGCCCGTAGCTCGCGTTGCCTGCTCCATGGGCGAGGGTGGGGGAGATCTACCTGGCGCCGGACAATCCTTCCTACCGAAAGATGGGCTTCCAAACTGGTTATCATACGCTCTGTACTGCTTGGTGCTATCGTTTTCCGCTTCATGTGTGGTAATATGAAAGGTACCGCTAGATACCTCCTCTAGCACTCAGCTGGTGGGGAAGGCTATGTCCTAGAGCGTGTCCATGGTCCCTTCTGTCAAGGGTGGGCTTTGTATAGTTGGGATAGGACTTGACCAGCGAGATTGATGGATTCTGCAGCAGCTACGGCCTGTGTGGCTGCCGCATCCTTTCATATAAAGCCCGGCGACCACCCAACTGTGGGTTGGATGGTAATATTAGAGGCATTCGTTATCACAGATTATCACAAGTTCGACAACTCTAACCCTCTCAGCAGTAGCATGCAGGCCCCGTCGCTCTCGACACACATCCTTATACTCTAGGAAATACGCATCATGTCCAAGTCCAAGGGAAAAGGGAGGTCCAAGAGAGGCGAGAAGCCCCTGACCTACACGTCAAGCACACAAGCAGAGTACCAAGACATGATGTCCACCTTCCCGCTGGAGACCCCAGGATACACGCCAGACACGTCCGTGGCGGCCGGGTCCTCATCGGCGGGGACGACGCCGCAGACGGCGTCGTCCCACGACGAGGGCGGCGTCATAAGAAACCCGGCCATCGAGTCCTCAGAGTCGATTGAGCTGTCTGGTCCCATGGAGGTTGACGGCTCCGTCAAGTCCGGGGGCTCGGTAGCCTTCTACGGTGACTTTTCAGTCCGCGAGAGGATCGAGGCCTACGGAGACATCGCCCTCCAGGGCAACATGACGTGCAAGTGAGCTGGACCTTTTGAGCGAATAAGGAGGTAGGCTGGATGATCTAATGCGTCATGATGATGCTGATAATCCCATCCCTCTCTCCAATAGTGACAGAGTAAAGACTATGGGAAGCATGAGGGTCACCGGAGATGCCCTCTTCAGGTCAGTATGAATACTACGTGGATTCTCGCGTGTGCCGAAGCAAGGAATATCTGACCAGAACAAAACGACACAAAATAGGAGCAAAGTTGAAGTGTACGGCACTCTGGAAATCGTCGGCAACGTCGAGATAGCCGACACCATCGAAGTATGGGGTGCTGTGAGCATCCATGGACATCTGTAAGGACAGACCCTTAGCGACATGTTGAGAACGTATTCCCGCGGACGGCCAATTTCAATCGTTGCTAACAAAATAACACAATCAAAGAAAATGCAGGACACTCGTTGCGTATTCATCGGTGACAACGGTCGGCGACGAGTCAAGCTACGAGGCTGAGGAAGGGGAAACGATTTGGGGTGCCAGGATGATTAAACGTTATCAGATCTAAGACCAAGGTGAGGGACCTGGCAGGAATACGGCGTTTACTTTTGTCTTTTTGTTTCCATAGGTTGTTTGTACAGATCTTGTAGATTTGCCTAGAGTCATGCGAAATAGACATACATTGAAGATTTCCCATGTCGGAATGAGCACCTGGAAGTAATTCATCTAGTGCAAGTGAGGTGGTTGTTTGGTGTGCTCCTGCCTCATCCTTCTCAGAGTCACAGACACGCAGGAGTCACATTGGAGGTGGGGCTAACCTCAAACGGACCCAGAGTGGACCTTGCTTGCCACAGTGGGGGTCCGTGCATTAGCTCTGCAGTGGGAGCCACCAATGACGGGAACGCGACAACGGGCTCGCGCAGTGGACGTCGTTGATCACGACCTCGCCTTGGCCATCACTTCGCACCTCGAACTTATCGAGCAACAAACCTCACCAGCCCCGCCACCGCTGCCTGCTTTGACACGGCGCATCCCGTCGTATCCTATCGTATATGGCGACGATTGCCATGATACACCTCGAACCTGCCACCCTTTAGGTTGCTACAATATGGCGGCTATCATGGCCACGCCCGCGCGCCAGGACGGGGAGCTTTCCCCCCGCCAGCATGCGCCGGCATCCATGGAGGATGCTATCAACTCGCTCGGCTCCATGAAGGACGGGCTGGGTCCCCTTGGAATGAATTCCCTCGACTTGCGCGCCGACCCCGATGCGCAGGCCACCATCACCGACTTCCTCGACTTTACCGAGTACCTCCCGGCCGACATGACGCGCTCGTTGACCTTGATCGGCAAGCTCGACCAGACCTATATCGACGCGTCCAATATCGTGCACAACCTGACGAAGAGCTGGGGCGAGCTCCCAAACACCCCCGCCGACGAGCGCCCACACCCGGTCCAGCTGAGGGCCGAGATATCCAAGAACCTCGGGCATGTTATGAGCTCGCGTACTTATGCCCATGCCGAGGCCGCGCGCATGGCCGAGAATGCCACCCGCCACTACAATCGCGCCAAAATCATCGTCGCAAAACTGCAGACGATGCTTGAGAACTACCCTACCGCAGAGGAGCAACAGAAGAGCCCCGTGCTGGCAGCCAAGACCGCGCAGGCCTCTCGTGCGAACAAGATGGGTGTACGTCTCGACGGCCGCAAGGGGCGCAGCGGGCGTTCTGTGCCTCGCATCACCGTCCCAGGAGAGGTCCTACCGCCATACGACCTCGATTTTGCAGCGTATGGCACGGACGAGGAGAGCAGCTCCGAGGACGAGGACGATGAGGATGACGAGGATGACGACGAGGCCACGGCTGCACCGTCGGCTCTGGCTTCTCAGCCGCGCGCCAAGGCCGTCAAGAACCCCAAGCCCCCAAAGACACCCAAGCCGCCCAAGGGCTCTGTCGCTGCGCAAGGCGTGTCGAGGCCGACCCAACCAGTCCCGCCAATGTCAAGCCTGAAGCCACCACCAGAAAACGCTGTGGTTGGCAGCGCAGATGCCCCGTGGCTTCAGCTTACCGCATGGGAGCTCGCTAGACTCAGGAAACGTATGAAGAAGAATGCGCAGTGGAGTCCTAGCGACACAATGATAGCACGGGAGCTGAAGGCCCTCGGTCGGGGGCCCGAAGCATACAACAAGGCGAAGCAGCTAGCGGAGGAGCAGGGAAAGCCCTTTGAGGCCACAATCCCAGCATCGATACCTGGTGCCGACGGAGTCGAGCATCCACCAATGGGTGCGCTCAGCCTGGATGCGGCGCTGGCCGCCGAGGACAAACAATCAAACAACCGCGGCCTGAAGCTAAACGTAGCCAAGAAGCTCAAGAAAGAGAATCTCGCCAAACTCGCCGCGGAGCTGGCGGAGGAGTCCGCGCGGAAGATGGAGCAGGAAGTGAATGCTTTGCTGTTTCCCACGCCTCAGAAGCAGCCGGAGAAGCCGGGCCCGGAACCTGCAAGTAGCAGAAATCCACGCAAGTACGGCGGCCGCAAACGGAAGCGCGATTCAGTAGCGGAGCCGGAGGATGAGAAGCCTGGCAGCGGCGGTGGCGGCGGCGGCGGCGGTCCTGCGCCTGGCCCTGCGGAAACCCCGTTGCAGAAGCGCACCAAGACCGAAACCCCCGTTCCTCTTCCGCAGCAGGCCCCCAGCCTTGCTAGTGCATCACAAGAAAGCCAACTACAGCCACCGCCCGTGCCCAACCCACAGTCCACCAGCCCGATCCCCATCCCTGTCTTGGCGCAGGAACAGCTTTCTGTGACTTCAGCACAGACGTTGTCAAACTCACCACCGGCTTCGGCAGTGACTGTCACCACTATCGTGCCAGTTAAGCCCCCCGCAGACTTGGTGGTGCCGCCCCAGTCTCCCAAGAAGTCTACCACGCCCATCTTGCCGCCAGTCAGAGAAACGCGTAAGAGCAGCCAAGCGGTCAAGAAAGAGCAGGAGCAGGAGCAACAGCAACCACAGCAGCAGCAACCACAGCAGCAGCAGCAGCAGCAGCAACAACAGCTTCAGCTGCAGCAAAAAGAAATCATGCTGCCCGTAGTGGTTGCGGCCTCCAGCAAGCCTGCCGGGTCGAGTTCTAGGGCAGGCACGCCGAGCGCCCTGGGAAGCAGCCGGCCTAGCTCACGAGAGAAGGCTGGAAGCTCGGAGCCCCCACAGTCTCTGGCCTCGGACCGGCCACGACGAACTAGTACCGCGCGTAACACGCCAGCGCCTGAACAGCGGCAGCACGGGAAACCGCAACGGCCTAAGCGCCCGGCACCCGGAGTCATCAGCCGGACTATTTCGGGCGGCAGCAGCGCGGTGGGGAAACGCAAGGCGCCCACAAAGAAGAAGTCGACGCGAGTAGCTTCCTTGTCTCATATCAGGAAGTGCGGAGGCGATGCCGAAGGTGGTGAAGTTGAGGTGGACGATGAAGGCAACGCGATCGACCCTGAAGAGGAGAGGTATTGTCTCTGCAACAGAGTCAGTTTTGGCACGATGATTCAATGTGAGAACGTAGAGGTAAGTTCGATATCTTTCCTCTTGGACTACTCAGATCCCGACATTGCTCCCCAACTGACACATGCCATTCGTTTTAGAACTGCAAACACGAGTGGTTCCATTTGGAGTGTGTGGATATGGACATCCTCCCGGCTAGGACGACCAAGTGGTACTGTCCAGCCTGCAGAAAGCTGCTCAATATCGGAGAGAAGGGTGAAGTCAGTGCCCGTGGCGTTAGAGCATGATGGCTCCCTCAATAACAATTCGATGCGCTCCAGGGCTTTATGCCGGCAGACCCGATATAATCATCGGGCAGGATAGTCTGCACCCAGCCAGCCTACTACCTGCGTTCTGTCGTTGGGCAAGCTATGTGCTTTCTTCTTATGTCTTTTTTTTATTATCTCTTATCATTTTCTAGGGCGAGTTGCAAAAGTTCAATGATGTGCCAATACGTTTAGCCAAGGATGGGATGGTTTCTCGGGATGTTACTTTTATCCTCTTTTTCTTCATGTTCTCCTTGTTTTTGCCAGTCTACAAAGTTCAAAGACGGCCTTGTAGCACTGGCGAACCTTTAGATTAATCTGAAGTCCAACTTTCCGTGCGATACGTGACAAGCTCACCGGGGAAAGGCTCAGCAGTGCCTATGTAAGGTACCTAACTAGGCATGTAGGTACATGCCTATTTTGGTAGATTGGATGTTGCTTCGCAAGGCGGCAGCCCGTTCCCGATGCCCTGGCCATGAAACACCACAGCGCAACTCTATTCGCGGTGCCCGTGAAAACGTCACGCTTGGCTCCAATCGTCTTGGGTGTCGCTGCTCGGCACGTAAGTATATATCGTCATTAGTTCCCCACGACCAATGGGACAGGCGAAGCCCCTACATGTTGCAGGTGCCTGTCCAACGTGGCTCCAGTCAACGCTGCGCACCCACCCACCTCCTCCTCCCGATCACGTCCACCCCCTCAATACGATTGTCCTCACAACGCCATCCTCACAACGCCATCCGCTATGACGTCGAACTACTCCCCCGTCCTGCCCGTGGACTACAAGGACGACCATGGCATCAAAGAGTTCATTGCTGAATTCTTCAAGATTTCGGACGACCCAGAGCAGAACGAAGCATGGGTTGATTACTACCGTGACAGCGGAACCTTTGTCTTCAACAACAAGATCTCAAAGGGTCGAGAGGGTCAGCAGCGGATCCGTTAAAGGATACCTCACACTCCAAAGTTGTCATTTTGCCCTCTTTTGGCGCTGGATGCGATGAGCTGACAGACTGTTTCCCCCACCGTGTGTGTCCCTTCCTCCCTTGGCAGACATCCGAAATGCCCGAAGTGCCATGTGGGATCAAGTTGCGACGAGGAAGCACGTGGTCGAGAAGGCGGTGCCGGCCAGGTTCCCGTGCCCCAAAGGCGAGGACTGCCTAGATCTGACGCTCTTTGGTACGGTGCACCAGACGCTTAAGAGCGGCGACACCGTGTCGGTCGATTGGGTCTCCCACGGCCGGCTGAAGCGGGAGGGAGGCAACGGGTGGCAAATCGCATATTATCGGGTGTACGCCTTGATGTAAGTCGGTTCGCCTATTTTGGGGGAGTACAGTAGTCGCTTCCTCTTGGTTGTTGTGTAGGCGGTTACCAGGGTGGTGGCAACGGAGTCAGGCGGGTACCTACAGCTACAGGTTGGGGGAGATCTCCAACAAGAAGGCGTGCATAAAAGACGGTCTGGCGGCATCAGTGGGGGAGAGGTTGTCTATTCCATTTGCGTTGGGGTGCGTGGGTGCTGAAGTTGGCGCGGTGGGCACTGCGGGTCCTCGACCGAGACGGCAAAGCCAGCTGGGGAGGCCAGCTGGAGGACAGCCCCAAGACGCAGCAAGTTGCGTCACCTGTTGCTCCAGTGGGGTCATCAAAGGTGATCAGGTGCCGTATCTATTCGTTAGGGACGGATTACAAGGTGCAAGGAAGGGGGCCCGCTATCCACGGCCTCCGTCTCCCTAGGACCAAGGTCTCGACCAAACCGTAGCCAGGGCGTTGGCTAGAAAAAGGGGCCGGAAGGGGTCAGCGAATCTCGCTCGTTCAAGACATGGCTCGAAGTGGTGTCAGCCACACAACGTGACTTGGTCAGCGACGGCCAGTGAGAAAGGAGAAAAAGAAGAAGGAAGAATATCATAGAAGAGCGCAGACATACTGCCAACTCGAGCACTGCACAGTTGACCTCCATGACTGGCAGCGGCGACAGCGGGTGGCCGATATGGAGCCCCAGCACGGGCACCTGCAATTCCAGCCCCGGACCTGCGACATCAATTGCCGTGCTGCGTTGCAGCAATTGGCACCCGCACTGTACCATGGGGGAACCCAGCCGACTGGGGTTGTGGACATGGAGGTCCGGCGCACTGCATTGCCCAAGGCCAGGCCAGAACATGGGAAGCTGAACAACTCACCTTGAACCACCCATGTATTACAGGAGGCCTTTTTACGCAGAGTTATGCCTCGTTGCTTCCGGTTGGACACCGCCTGCGTGGCTGCTGCATCCAAGGCCTGGCTGCCAAAAGCCAAGCTGGCTGCTGCATCCAAGGCCTGGCTGCTAAAAGCCAAGCCACGAAGCAGGAGAGGCCACGGGGGGCTGCGTGACTGACTGGACCCCTCCCTCGATGCGTAATCCAGCTGTCTCACCACCTCACCTATCTGCCCGGGCCCCATGCTCCACTCACCTTATCTGTTCGCGGGGTTCGGGTCAGCCACTCATCCACCCACGCTCCCCAGTACATTACTGGTACTTGCACACCGACCCAGTCACCGGCCCCAGCGCTAGTCCATCCAGGTATGTCGGGTATTGATCCTCCAGCTAGGCCGCTTCCATCCCAGGCACAACGCGGTACTTGGAGGGGTGGTACCTTCCCAAAGAGGTGGAATGCAGGCAGCATTGGACAAAGGCGGATGCCCGGGGGGCCTGCAGCTTGGGCCTGACAAGCGTGGGACGCGGGATGTCTGTTTCTGTCCTGGCAGATCCGTCGGTCGCTACGACCTCCGACCTTCCTCGCACCGCCCGCCGTCATCTGCCTGTTGCATCATCACTGAAGTGTCATACCGATAACCGTCCCGTTCTGCCTTCGCATCACGAGCATCCCTTCTCCGCGCATAGTATCTTGTCGTCTGCCCATTCGTATCTGCATTCCCTTTCTTTGCCCTTTTTCTCCTGTCATAGACTTGTGTTTGCTTGCATCCAAAACACCAGATCCCCGACGGGCAGTGCCTCCTTGGAATTCCACTCCTTTGTTGCTTCCCGCCCCCCCCGAGATAGGGACTGAATACCCACCCACCCGTAATACGCGCCATTTCCCGCGCCCGGCTGTTTCCTCCCACCTCGGCCCCTCTCTCACTCTCGAGTACGTCGCGAAACGAAACCAACGGGAACTTGATCGTCCAGCGACTTGTCGATATACACCCCAGCCCGCCGTTTGCCGGGCCTCGAACCATATCCCTGCACACTTCGGCCGCCTTGTCGCCGCGGTGACTCTTCCCCGACTGCCTAGCCCCTCCACCTCCCTCGACTGCCCCGGACTCGCCTGAAAGCGCACTCCGTCTGTGCAAGTCCCGGAACCGAACCCGGCGGCTAGGTGCAGGAGACTGCCCTTGGCCAGCTCTGCCAGGCAAAGGCGACTATATGCCTAGTACGTAGGCCGCTTTCCCCCGCTGTGCGCCCCGCGCTCTCGTGACACCGTCTCGCCTGCCATACAACCGACTCTCGCCTGAAAGGGCTATACTTGGACGCCTCCACGTCTGTCTACATCGGCAGGCAGTTGCTATCCGTGTAGTTCTTTGGCTAACCACGCACCCCATGCGAACAGAAAAGTCGAAGAAAGATGTCAAAGAGAGCGGTGCAATCGCCGCCGCGGTGTCAAGGCATGCTGCTGGCCAGTTCTCGTACGTTTCACCATATGGCCGTTGGGGAGAGGGTAGTGGCCACGCTTCCTTTCGTTGGGAGGGCGCCTTATCCTGTCGCATCGTGCAGCGCGTCTCGTTTTTCGACTGCCTACGTCTTCTAATATTGTTTGGATCAGCAATAGTGGCCTCAGCGTACCCAGAGGCTTTTCCTCAGACTCTTCGTCCTCCTCAGTGCAGTCGCCAGAGATGAAGCCTGTCGCGACTCCGTCGTCAAATGGCAACCCGACCTCGCCCATCCTGGACGCCATCACGAGCGCTTCATTCGGGACAAACATCACCGCTCCGAGCGTGGCCAACGAGTGGATGGCTTCGAGGGGCACGCCTGGAATGGCGGGCTCGCCGGGGAATCTCATAAGCCTCATGGGCGAGTCGCCGCCTACTCAGCCGTCGTCCTACGAGGATCCGCGGTCAATGCCCTATGGATGGGCGTCTCCGCGACCGTATATGAACAGCCAGCGTCCATCGCCATCTCCTCCGTCATCGGTGGGCCGACGGCCGCTGAGCTATCATATGGATGCTCAGTACCAGTCATCCGACCCCCACGCAAAGCCGGCTTCTGCAGCTGTTCGCAGAAGCTCTCTGCACTCTCACTACGCCCAGTCTCGCGGCAGCCCCAACCCTCCTTTGCCACACGAGCCGCAGCCGCACTTCTACGGCGTTCCAGACCTAGGATTCGATATCCTGCCGCAGGGCCTGAAGGCCGGCGATCGAGGTTTCCACTTTGCATTTGACAAGATTCCAAGTGCGGGGCTGGATCGCACCCCCGGCAAGGATAATGTCATTGTCGCTGGGTATGAGGGCGGCCTGGAAGTATTCTCGGTTGGCAAGCGTGGTCTGGAGCCGCTCGTCGGTTTGAATGGCCTGCGGGGCGGCGTTCATCACGCTGCAATCTTGCCCTGGACGTCCTATGGCGACAACCGTGACGTCTTTCCGCTTGTAGCGGTCGTCGTGCATGGGCCGGTGCTGCAGCCCCCTGCTCCGGACGCAAGCCCCGAGACCACGGACGAGGCGACTTCCGACGAACGCCACCAACCCACAGCGAAGGGCGGCAGCGCCACCGTCGAGTTTTACCAAACCTCGGTGGAAGTATACTCGCTGAGATCCAGTAGGTGGGTGGCTACACTGCTCGAAGCACCCAAGGTCCCTGTCAGCACCCCCATCACAAGCGCCACCTTCAGGCCGCCACCGCCGTCAGGGGCCTTCCAGATCAAGGCAGATGGGGGTACCATCGTCGTTTCGTCTGGCGTGACCGGGGAGTGCTGGGTCTACCGGCAAACCTTTGCGGGGCCGCAGGAGGGAGGCATCGCTTTCAAATGTGCTGGCAAGCTTTGGACCGCTCTCCAGCAGCCAGTGAAAGGTGACACTCAGCAGGAGGCGGAGAGAAATCGAGTGTCGACGCTGAGACCAAACGCCAGATCTCCCATAATTTCGCTACGGGGTCGATGGATCGCCTACTGCCCCGCGGCACCTTCGTCGCATATATCTTTGCGGGCTGCTGTGACAGTTCCTCTGCATGGAAAGGCCCCGGGTGTGGCAACAGTAACCCCTCCACCGCTGCCTTCAGTCTCTTCCGAGATCGACCTGCCCATATCCGATAGCTTGGTAAACAAGATTATGCGGGATGCGACGCAGGAATTCATCCAGGGCGCCAAATGGGTCGGTCAGCAGGGCTGGCAGGCCTTCAATACCTACTGGAACGGCCCGACTAACTCGCGGGTCGCGGCCCGCTCGCCCCCTCTCGGCTCGCAGCCGTGGGTGAGCGGCGGCTACGGAAATCGCCAGGAGGCATCTCAGTTTCCACCCACCCACGGCGCCATGACCCCGGTTGTCTCGAAAGAGCCCGGTATTGTCTCCATTGTGGACGCTGGGACGCTGGGCCTCTCGACGGCGCTTCATCCCATCGCCTCTTTCTCTCCTCCCTTCGGATGTAGCTTCCTGAGCTTCAATCCGAGCGGGCTCGCGCTATTCACGGCAAGCAGCAAGGGAGATGTGCAGACGGTGTGGGATCTGATGCGCATCCAATACGCTAAGAGCTCCCCGCTGCAGGCGTCGGCGGTGGTGGCTGTCCAAAACGGCTCGAGGGTGCGACAGGTTGCTCAGTTCTCACGGCTAACCGTGGCACGTATTGTCGACGTCTCGTGGACAAAGCCTCATGGGGAACGTGCGGCCATGATCACGGAACGGGGCACTGTGCATCTCCTGGACATGCCGTCGAGCGCATTTACTTGGCCACCCCCGCGCCGGCGGGTGCCACCGCAGGATCCGGCTGTGTCCCCGTCTGAGGCAAAGCATCCGGCTGTCTCCATGGCGTCCTCGGCCTTCACCACGGCTCTGGGCGTGGCTCGTCCCTTGATGGCCCGGCCCCGAAGGAGCAGCAGCAATGTTCCTCAGTTGACCAGCTCGAGCATTGTTGATCATGCCAGCCACGGCGGGAAGGCTATTGTTGCCACTATCAGTCACTCTCTTGGGAAGACGGGCAGCGCGATCAACCAGCTCCGACACACCGGCGAGAACCGGGCCTCCTTGCCCCTGACGATTCTTCCACCGGCCGGGGCTTGTGCTGCTTGGATAGCTGGGCGGAGGAACCATCAGCTTCATGTTCTCGGTGATGGACTGGTGCGGGCGTTTCCAAACCGCACACGAAAGAAGCCGTCAGTATCGGATCGGAGCCGCACACCATGGTTAACACGGTACAGAGACTACAAGGTTCCCGGCTTACCAGAGGACACGATCGCAGATGCTGTCAAGCGCTTTCTCGATCTCGATGGCTATCTCAACCTGACGGAACGGACCATGGACACCAACAATAACACGATGATTCTTGATACTAGGCGCCGGGCGCCACAGCACGACGCCAGTGCCGAGTCGGCGATTCCACAAGCCGAGATCGAGTCCAGCGCTCCGTACCAGCCATTCCATACCGACAGGCGGGTCGCCCTTTACAATTACTCCGAGCTCAAAGGCACTCATGAGTCAACAGAGGACCGACTGTCTGCCTTTCTGGCGAATGCCATCCTCGAAGAGACGCCGGCTGCGCCATCGTCTTCAAGGAAGAAGCACAGGCACCCTCGAGCCAAGACGGGCAAGACGAGGGCGGCCAGCGATGGTGGCTGGGTGTTCGGTCAGGTGCTGGACACGGTCAGGCTCGAGACGGGTCACCTGCAAGTTTCGGACGGAGAGTCGTTCAACACCAGCTCCAACGGGACTAGGGCTCTGCCTCCGTCGGCTATCGAGAGGGTGTTGCAGCACGTGGGCGAGAACGATGAGCAGATTGTTATCACGACTCGGCGCCGGAGAGGAGGTGGTAACCGGGCGGCTGATGATGATGACGACGGTTTCTTCGAAGATGACTGTGAGGTGCTTGATTTTGCTGATCAGAGAGTTTAGACTCTGATGTGGCGACACTGCACATGTCAGGCCTGTCTCGACGGCCTTCCCTCCTCCCCACTCTGGGTTTCCTTCATTCCTTCATTCCTTCCTTTGCTCTTTTTCTTCTGCCACGCCACCAAAGCATGAGGATAACCGGACGGTCTCAAGTTGAATTGATTGTCAGAGCAAGTTGCGAGGATACATGTTTGGGGGTACTCCATGCTTTTTGCGTGTTACATTTAGTTGGAGACGTGCTCTCCGCCACGTTCGCTTCTTGCATTCGCCTTCAGCCCTTTGCGCAGTAGCTGGAGACTGGGAAAGTGTCTGAGCTTGCTGCAAGAGCGACTGTCGCAGTCCCATAGGTAGAGGGTTGGGGGTACTCGGTCAGTAGGTAGCTAGCAGCCAGCGCAAGAACAGGCCAAATAATATGCCTACTGCAAGATACAGGTCTCAACACCCGTGTCAAACCGGCAAGGAGATGGTCTAAGTAAACTCCATTCTCCAGAGTCTTTCAATGGTCCACAGGATGCGTGTCTGATGTCAAACGAGGTACCGATCAATGATACCACAACCTTGGGTTATCCTACAAAGCGATTTCTGAACGCGAAGTGTTCGTGACAGATGCACTGGAGCGAAAGGCTCGCTGATTTATGTGCACCCTCCTCTAACCCCAGCCATGATACAATCGAGATGTATGTTGGTAATCTCCATAGGTTTTCGCCCATCCGAGATATCGCCGGAGTAGGAGGCTGCACGTAGCTCCCACCGCTCAAGCCTTCTTCTTTATCGCCGCAGCCTTGGCCTTGGCGGCCTTTTTCCTGTTGCTGCGGATCATGACGACGCTGAGGAACGAGCCGACGACGGCGGAGCCCAGGAGGATCAGGATGACGGGTATGCGGATGGCCCAGACACGCGGAGGGAAGACGTTCTGGAGCGGGTGGTCCGAGTCGACAAAGGGCTGCGAGGAGGGGTTTCGTGACTTAGCGGACGGGATCATCGTCACGGACCGGTCGGGCGTCGAGGGAGGGAGCGAAAGGCTTGGTCGCGAGCACCCAAAGCTTACCATGATCAGGGTCCACACGCTATAGTAGAGGAAGACGACGGACGCGGCCACGAGCATGGCGAGACCGACGAGTTTGTCGAGCTGTTGGCGAGAGAGGGGGGCGGCGGCACATGGCAAGGCGCGCGTTGGTTAGCGACGTCTTGGAAAGGGCGCGGCGCATGGGAAAGGGGAAGGGTTTACCATTGTCGCAACTGGAAGATTTTTGGTCGTGTTACGTTTGAGCTGGTCTACGGAGAAAAGGAGCGTGTTGCGGGATAAATGAAGGACAGTGGACGAGCTCTCGCGACGGAGGACGAGCGAAGCAGACTTGGCGTCGTGGCCACGTTGGGTGCTTTTTTTGGCGATGGGATTTGAGGTGCTAGTTCGAGGTAGGGGGTAACTACGGAGAGCGTCAGGGGTGTGGCGCGCTGGGCCCGTTGTGGGGCGGGGCGTCCTTTCAGCTGCCGGGAAGACCCTGGCGAGTCGAAGACCCACAAGGGAGAGTTGTGTCGTGAGCGCGCACCAGCCACCTGATAATGGTCAGTTGTGGCGCCCGATACAAATAATTTCGGGAAACTGGGACTGAGCCTCGCCAAAGCTTCTGTAAGGTCTCGCGATCACGCAGGTAAAAAGGTAACCAACACAGGTCGCGTTTGGTCTGACGTCAAAAACCAAAACGACCTTCGCACCAGACATCGAGATCGCATCGACTATCGGAAGATTTTTCGATAACCGCCCACGCGTGCATCGAGTTCGCCAACGGCAGGATGGGGTCGCCCGGGTCAGGCGCGTCGTCGCCGAGAGCGCGTTCGCCGGCTTCGAAGCCCCTCCCGCTGGACGACGAGCGGTCGCCAAAACCTGTCGACACGAAACAGCCACGGGGTGGGCGCGATGATGAGGGGCGAGGAGAAAGGCGGGCGGGCGGCGGCGGCGGCGGCAGAGGAAGGGGAGCAGGGCGGCACGAGCGCGGCAAGCGAGAGGGCGGCGGTGGCGACAAGTACCGGCCGGCGCGGCGCGAGCGGACGCCGCCGCCGGTGGCGACGGAGGAGCAAAAGCAGGCGGCGGCCAAGGCCGAGTACGAGCGGCTGCTGACGGCGCGGTCGGGGGGCACGTACGTGCCGCCGGCCAAGCTGCGGGCGCTGCAGGCGCAGATCACTGACAAGTCGTCGACGGCGTACCAGCGCATGGCGTGGGACGCGCTCAAGAAGAGCATCAACGGGCTCATCAACAAGGTCAACGTCAGCAACATCAAGCCGCTCGTGCCCGAGCTCTTCAACGAGAACCTCGTGCGCGGCCGCGGGCTCTTCTGCCAGAGCGCCGTCAAGGCCCAGGCCGCGTCGCTGCCCTTCACGCCCATCTACGCCGCCCTCGTCGCCGTCGTCAACACCAAGCTGCCCCAGGTCGGCGAGTTGCTGCTGCGCCGCCTGGTCCTGCGCTTCCGCAAGGCCTTCCGCCGCAACGACAAGGCCGTCTGCCTCTCGGCCACCACCTTTGTCGCCCACCTCGTCAACCAGCAGGTCGCGCACGAGATGGTGGCCGCCCAGATGCTGCTCCTGCTGCTCAACAAGCCCACCGACGACAGCGTCGAGATCGCCGTCGGCCTGACCCGCGAGGTCGGCCAGTTCCTCGAGGAGATGAACGCGCCTATCGCGAACGTCGTCTTTGACCGCTTCCGCGACATCCTGCACGAGGCCGACATCGCCAAGCGTACCCAGTACATGATCGAGGTGCTCTTCCAGACCCGAAAGGACCAGTTCAAGGACAACCCGGCCGTGCGCGAGGAGCTCGACCTGGTCGAGGAGTCGGACCAGATTAAGCACTTTGTCGAGCTGGACGGCGAACTCGAGGCCGAGGACACCCTCAACATTTTCCGCGCCGACCCGGACTATGAGGCGAACGAGGAGAAGTACAAGAAGCTCAAGGCCGAGATCCTTGGCGAGGGCTCCGACGACGAGGACGACAGCGACGACGAAGATGACGACTCGAGCGAGGACGAGGCCGAGACGACCGAGCAAAAGGCAGTCGATATCCAGGACCGGAGCAACGCCGACCTGGTCGCACTGCGGAGAACAATTTGTATGTGTGCCGGCCGCGCTAGGGTTTGACGTCGAAGGACCGTTGCTGACCAGCTCACCCCCGCAGATCTGACCCTGATGTCCAGCATGGATCCCGAAGAAGCTGTGCACAAGCTGATGAAGCTCAATCTGTAAGTGGTGGCAACAAGCCAGCCCGCGCCCCTGCGCCAAAAGACGAGGCCGGCTAACACATGGCACACAGACCCGCTGGCCAGGAGCCTGAGCTGCCATCGCTCATTGTCGAGTCGTGCGCGCAGGAGCGGACCTACTCCAAGTTTTACGGAGCCATCGGCGAGCGGCTGGCCAAGATCAACCGGCTCTGGACCGACCTCTTCGAGCGCTCATTCGAACACTACTACACCAACATCCACCGCTACGAGACCAACAGGCTGCGCAATATCGCCCGCTTCTTCGGTCATGTCTTTAGCACCGACGCCATCGGCTGGCACTGCATGTCGGTCGTGCACCTCAACGAGGAGGAAACCACGTCGGCAAGCCGTATCTTTATCAAGATCCTGTTCCAGGAGATCTCAGAAGCTATGGGCATGCCTAAGCTGGTGGCGCGCACCAAGGAGGAGCAGCTCCGGCCTTACATGGAGGGCCTCTTCCCCCGCGACTCGGCCCGCAACGTCCGCTTCTCCATCAACTACTTCACCAGCATCGGCATGGGCGTCCTGACGGAAGAATCGCGCGAGTTCCTGCAGAACATGCCCAAGCCGGCCCTGCCCGCGGCTCGCGCCGCCGCCGACCACTCGGACTCGGAGTCGTCGTCGGGCTACTCGTCCTACACGGGATCCTCGTACTCGTCGCGCTCCCGCTCGAGGTCCCGCCGGTCGCGTTCCTACTCACGCTCGAAGTCTCGATCTCCTGCGCCACGTCGCGGGAAGGCCGTGGCCAAGAGGCCGTCCCCATCGCGGTCGAGATCCCGCTCCCGCTCCATCTCCAGGTCTCGGAGCCCCGCACCTCGTCGAGGCCGCTCGTACAGCCGTGATCGGTCCGCATCGGCCGGCCGATCCCGCTCCCGCTCCCACTCGCGGTCGCGATCGAGATCCTATTCGCGATCGCGGTCCCGCAGCCCGCAGCGCCGCGACGCGCCCCAACATCAGCAGCAGCAGCAGCAGCAGCCGCCGCCGCAACAACAAAACCAAGCACAGCCGGCCCAACAGCGCGGCCGCCAGCGCTCCTACACGCCCAGCGACCGCAGCTTGAGCCGGAGTCGCAGCCGCAGCTACAGCAGGAGTCCCCGCGGCCGGTCCTATACCAGGTCCCCGGAGCCCGCAAAGGCGCGCGGCGGGCCAACGGTAGCAACGCGAAGGCCTGTTTCGGCGGACAGCAAGCGGTCGCTATCCAGGTCGAGGTCCCGGTCCCGGTCCAGGTCGAGGTCGCCTGTGGCCCCGCGCCGGCGGCGAGGTTCCTCTTATAGTCGCAGCCGCAGCCCTATCAGGGACAGAGGTGGTGGTAGTGGCGGTGGCGGCGGCTCAGAAGGGAACGCGGACAAGGGCAGCGGACGTGATGCGCGAACCAAGGCGGCGCCGAGGCGCGGACGGAGCTACTCCCGCTCCGTGAGCCGATCCAGAGCCAGGTCCAGATCCGGCACGGCGTCGCCGTCGCCGGGCCCGTCCAGGCGGCGGAGGAGGGCGTCGTCCAGCGTCAGCGACACGCCGAGGAAGAGACGTCGGGAGAGCTGAGCCAATGCGGGGATAGGCTCGGGCTGCGGAAGGGATAAAGGCTCAGGTCCCGAGAATGGGGGGACCCACGTCGCAGTGTCCGAGGGGAGGCTCGGATGTTTCAAAGGCCGCCCGGGAATTAGACTGTTTGTAATATAGTATCATATCAGGTCGAAAAGGGACCCCGACGGAGAGGGAGGTGTACAGGAATGAACCCGTAATGGCGAAGACGAATATCCAGACGAAAATTCTTTGAGTTGTGCCTTGTTCTTTTCTGCCATGTAAGATTTCTGCAAACATTATCTCACGTTTTCCATCATCCCCATCTCCGACCCTCGGAATACTTATTTTGCAAATGTGACTTGAGAAGATCTTTGCGGTTTTTTTTATATATATATGTTCATTGCATCTAGAGAATTGTAGGTAGCCATGCAGTCCTATCCAGAAACCAAGTCGTTTGTCGGATAGTCGGTCTGTTTCTCCAGCTCGGCCACCTTGGCTTCCGTCGCAGCCACCCCAGGGGCCGCCTCGGCCGCCGCCGCCGCCGCCGCTGGCTTGTGGCCGTTCCTTTGTACCGGGGCTTTCGGCGGCGGCTTCGCCTTCTTGAGGGTGATGGCCCCCTTGGCCGCGGCCTCGGCGGGCAGCGGGCGCACGATGGGCTGGACGACCCACCACGGGCGCCTGCACCGCCTCACCGTCTCCAGCGAGCTCTCCACGACCTCGGCCGCCGCCGCCGCCGCCGCTTCGTCTCCCTCGTCCTCCGTCTCAGTCGCCTGCACCGTCAGCTCCTTTGGCAGCTGCTTGACCTTGACGGCCGGCAGCGGCTCGTCCTCGAAGCTGCGGCCGCCCGTGCGCTCGTACTCGAGCAGGCCCCCGGCCACGCGGCGCTCGACCATGTCGAGCACGCGCTCGAGGTAGGGGAGGTAGCCCGGCCCCAGGCGGGCGCGGGCCAGGAGGTCGCGCACGTCGGTGTGCCGCGAGACGAAGTGCCGCAGCAGGTGGAAGAGGTGGCCCTTGACGGCGATGTAGTTGGGCGAGGGTACCTTGTCCTTCTTGCCGATGGCCTCGGGGTCGGCCCCGCCGCCCTTTTTGTCATTGTTGGCCTTGTTCCGCTTGCGCTTCTTGCGCGCCGGGCCCTCCTCTTCCTCTTCCCCCTCGCCAGCCTCGCCAGCCTCGCCATTTTGATCCCCATTCTTCGCCGTAGTTGATGCTGTTGTTGTTGTTATTGTTGTTATTGTTGTTTCCGTCGCGGCCGTGGGGTCAGGTGGCGGCTGCGCGAGCCAGGCCTCATCGTCGCCCGGCACAAACAGCGGCCTCCGGCTTGGCGGCTCCTCGCCCTCGACGTAGCGGTGCAGGATGTCGAGGTAGCGGCGCAGGACGGCGTCGACACGGAACCCGCCGACGCCGCCGCCGACGCCGCGCCAGTACTCACCCCGGGTGAACATCTCGCCGGCCTCCTCCCCCTCGGACGGCTCGGCCGCAAAGATGGACGGGTCGCTGAGGTTGCCCTCGGCCGACATGACGCCGTCGGCGCCCGTGGCGGCCAGGCAGGCCTCGACGTCGCCGCGCTGCAGCACGTTGCCGTTGGCAAACAGCACCGTGTCGGGCGGCAGCTCGTCGCGCAGGCGGCGGATGGCGGCCCAGTCGGCGACCCCCGTCAGGTGGCCCTTTTGCTCGCGGCGGCGGCCGTGGACGGTGAGGATGCTAGCGCCGGCGTCGAGCACGTTGCGCGCGTACGCGAGCGTGGCCTCGGGCGTGTCGAGGATGCGGATCTTGGCCGTCACGGGCACGGGCAGCTCCTCGTGCAGCGTCCGGATGAGGCGGTGGATCAGCGCCTGGTCCTCCTGCAGGAAGGCGCCGTACCGGCCCTTCTTGGCGATGCCCTGGGGGCAGCCGAGGTTGAGGTCGACGGCGTCGCAGTGGGGCGCCACGCGCCTGGCCGCGTCGAGCAGCGCCGCCGGCTCGTTTGCGCAGAACTGCACGAAGAGGGGCCGGTCGATGGCCGGGTTCCCGTCCAGCCACGGCGTCGGCGGCTCCGCGTCGGCGCCGGGGCGCGTCGCCTGGAAGTGCGAGTCCCGGTAGGCCTGGGTCTCGCCGAAGAGCCGGGCGTGCAGCATGGGCGTGTAGGCGAGGAGGTTCGACTGCTCGGATTTAGGCATGAAGGATCGCGTGAGCATGCGCCAGGCCTGTGGAGGGACCGCACGGTTGCTACAGTCAGCTATCTGAGTGGGCGCAATGGTAGGGAGTTTCGGGACAGCCTTGATAAAACCAGGCGTACAAATTCGGACTGGTCCACCATGGGCGCAACAATGTACTTGGGGCTCCCGATGCTCTCATAGAATGCCCTCCCGTGCAGCTTCTTGGGCCGCGGGGTCGCCGGCCCAGGTGCGGCCGTCTCGAGCCCAGACATGACGGCGCGCGTGGTGGCTATCGTCCTCCTCGTGGTCGGGCTCGGGGCGGCGATGCGCCCCAGTTTCAGGCGGCGCAGAAGAAGCGCCACCGCGACAGCTCGGGGACGAGTCGGCCTAGCACACCTGGCGGCTGTGGGATGTCAAGGAGGAGCTATCGGCCTCGACGTCTTGTAGCAGTTGTCGACGGGCTGTCTCGTAAAGCGCGTAACGTAGAGCGTAGAGCAGTTCGAGCCACCAAAGAAGAAAAAAATCTAGCTCGGCTGCAAGGCTGACAGACGCTCCTGCTGCTGATTGGCGCAAGACTCAAAAGAAGCAACCCGGCTGGACCCCTCGACGGGAGGCTGCAGGAATGACGTCGCCAGGCAAGACTCCACTTGCGCTGGAAATTTAGTCTTGCACCGTGGCCATGCACTGTCCACTCACGTATCCGCCCTGCGAAATCCCGCACGCTAAACAAAACTTCAGATAGGCGGGTATCACAGCATCGAGGGGCCAGGTCTCGGGTTCGTCCTGTCCGCGCCTGTTGCCGTGGTGTGCTATCATGAACCCGAAGAGGCGCGGCCACCGACGCGGGCGGGCTGCATGCCCAGCCCACACGAAACAATATAGACACGCAGAAGCAAAAAGAAAAACAAAGGAAGATAAAAACGCGGTCGGTTCATCCGTCCAGGTAGGTTCCGAGATGTTACTCTACATCCATGCCATCCTCCTCAAGGCGGGGGCGAGATAGAAGAAAAAGGGGGGATGAGGGGCACGGAAGCAGCGCGCTGCAGGAGACGGGCACGTGTTGTTCGATGCAACACGCCGCATCTGGAACCGTTTGGTCTGCGAGCTCGGCCTGCATGTATGATGATAATAAGTGCATAACGGCGGAGCAAAATGTCCCCATGAGCTGGTAGGTGTGTGGGTGATTGAAGAACCCCGAGAGAGACAAGATAGTGTGTGTGTGTGTGTGTGTGGGAACGGGACCGGCGGGACAGCAAAAGCATCGAGGCGGCAGGCAAATTAACAAGGTAAACGATCCACGCCCCGACTGGCCGACACCGACAAAGCGGCCGGGGTGGTCTCCAGATAGGGGCGGCGGCGGCGGCGGGCCATGTTACATTTCGTCGTGCATGTGCAGCCTACTAGCATAACGCGGGATCCCCCATCCGCGCTCCTGATTCGCCCGGCTGCTCTTTTCTTTTCTTTTGCCTCGACTTCTTCCCTCTCTCCCACCCTCTCGCTCTCTCGCTCTCTCTTCCCCCCCTCCCGGGGCAAACCCGCGCGCGGGGCTCCTCGCCCCTTTCGCTCCTTTTGGGCCCAGGTGGCGCCTTTGCGGCTACCGACATTGTGTCCCAAAAATCCCACCCATGGGCCGCCCTGCGGTTTGTCTGCGCATGCCCGCCCGCCTCATGTCTACAACATAGTAGGGATAGTACCTGCCTACCCACATAACTAGGCACCAGGTACGGGGTACTTTGTCCTTTTGCCCGCCACCCTCCATCACAACACGCTCCCGACCTTGCTTCTCCTCACTTCTGCTCCTTCTTCTCGTATTGTGCCCTCATACACGGGGCTTTTATTGTCCATCTTGCAGCTGTTAGCACCTTGGCATCTCCCTCCCTTCCCGGCAGCTTATCGACCACCACACACGTGAACACACGAAAAGAAACGGTTCTAGCCTACCGTCGCATCAGGGCTACATGCCCACCGCCTGGGATCGGCCATGCGTAACATTCAAAGTCTGGGCGAGCAGGGAGTGATCTCTCTTTTCATCGCTAACCGAGTTAGGTAGACATAGACGATGGACCATAAGGAACTTGAATAACAATGATAGCGATGAAAGCTAGCCGCCGGAAAAAAAATCTTCCAAAAAACATTTCAACAGCTGCTTGACCTTCAATACGCGCGCCTGTGTGCGAGAGTGTATGCATGTGTGCTTACTTCCTTGTCTGTTTCCGCCTGGTCTCAACGGCACGCACCGACGCTGGGAAAATGGACAAAGCAAAAAGTGAGAGGCAGAGACAAGGAAAGAACACTGAAAAACTCAAAACCATGAAGACAGTCAGATAAAAAAAAGACCACACTAATATGCCCAGTGTTCGGTATGACAGTCGAACGCTCCACTGTGCCCATGAGACTAAGGGGTAAGAAACGAGATAGAAAAGGGAGGCCAGCGAGCAAAACAAGAAAGTGGAGGCAAAAGAATGTCAGGTTTCCCGAGTCGTTGGAGTCGTTGGGCCATAAAAGCCCATCGCCCACCCCCCTTTCAGCTCGTGCGTGTTGGCTGGTTGGCGTCGGTGGGTTTCGGTTTTTGATTTTCTTGCGAGCAAAACAAGAGACAGAGAAGAAGGAAAAAATGAAAGGTAAGCAAGGAGACAGAGACAGATGAAAATACAATGCGCATTTCTGCCTCGAGTAAACACCGTCCAAACTTTTGCTCCCGACAAAGCCCCAAGTCGACCTTGGCCCGTGTATGTGCATATGCAGAGGCCATACAGTTCGTCCACCCGCTCTCGTGCCGGTGGTTTGTCGTGTATCAAAGTTCTAGGCGAAGAACCAAGCGAGGGAAGTGCAGTAAGTGGAAAGAACGCCGTGACACCATACGATGCTGTCCAGAAACAAACGCCATGAGAATGTAAGACATGTGCAATACACCACAGGGGCTGCCGCGAAACGATCCCTGCCCGAAACGAAACAGGCTGCCGAATTAATATGCCATGTCTTGCTGTGCGGTGACATTAGAAAAAGTGCGTGTATATCTTCGAGTTCTCGTGCACCTCCATCTCCTGTAAACGTGGCGTTGCCCGGGTCAGCGAAATTCGTCAACGACAGGGCTTGCGCCCATTGCCATGGTCGGTGCATGTCTTACCATCTTGAACGAGTTAAGCTCCTCCTTGATCTGCTGAGCGAGCATCGGCGTCAGGCGGTTGCACGTAGCAATCTCGCCACGACGGTCGTACTCCTGGCTGGGCCATGTATCGTGGAAAACAATGCGAGGGCTAAAGGTCGCGTTCCGCCTCATGGTGCCCGTGGGCGTTGACCCCTGAGGAGTGGCAGGGGCACTCTTAGTGTCCTGACGCAGTCGGAGAGCCGTCATGAAGTAGTCCTCGCTGCCGATCGCCACCGAGCCGGTGCGCTTGTGGCCCTGAACGTCGTCGTTTGGCGTGCTCGGGGCACTCGAGTTCGGCGAGTCGCTCATTGCCGGGGCACCGCGCAGGCTGCCGTTGGGGTTGCCCCTCGACGGACTGGGAGACGCGCCGCGGCCTGCAGAATTGTTAGCATCAGCAACGTAGCTCGGCATCCAGCGCTGGACATTAACGCTCAATATGCGAGATGGGGGCGCAACTCACGCTTCAGGATGCCCTTCCTAACCGCGGCTAGAACCTCGGCACGCTCCCTGTCCCCGCCAACGATGCTCTTCCGAACGCCAGAGTTGTCGGTGCCGGAGCTTCCGAGACGGTCCGAGACGAGGCTCGATGTCTTGGATGCGTCGATCGAATTCCTCTCCAGCCTAGGAAAGCCTGTGCCACCTCCGTTCTGTGAATGCGGATCGGCGTTCACATTGACACGCTCACGCTCGGCCTCGACAGTGATCATGGATACAGCAGCCTGGCTGGCTTCTGGCGCCTGTGCATCGGCCGACGGGGCACCGATGATTGACTTGGGGCGGAAGAGGCCCACGAGCGAGCGACCGCCCTTCTTCATTCCACGACCCATCTTTCGAATCATAATCGAAGCAGACGATGCCGTGGACGAGATGGACAGGTTATCGGTGGATCCAGCAAAAATCTTGGCTCCAGCGTAAATGCTGTTGCCAATGCCAGCCTCCTCCTGCTGCTGAGCAATGCGGGCCTGTTCCGCATCATAGGCCGCGTCGGGCGCAGGGTCCTTTTGCAGCTTCGAAGGGTTGTCGGTTCCGGCCAGTTCACGAATTGTCTCGGGATTCGACGCTTTCCTAAGCTCTGCCGCGCTGCCGAAGGAGAAGGCACGGCGGAGGCGAGAAGTTTTGCTCTTGGGCTTGCCAGTTTTTTGACTGATGGCTGCCAGATGCTGGGCTGCTGGACTTGCGCCCTGCCCAGGCGCCTGGGGCGAAGTTCCAAGCTTGGAAGATGCATTGGCGGCCGTCGCGTCCGACTCGGAATCCATCGTGATCGGCTTCGACAGAGGCGACGGATTGGGGACCGTCTTGGACGCATCGGTGGAGGAGCCGCGCGGAGGGATTGTGACCAGGCGGAGATTGTCAGAGGCGCCCCTGTTGGCAGCAGACGCATCGGAAGCAGACATGGACCCAGCGGGGTTGGCAGTGGGGGCGTTGGAGCCGGGGGTGGTCGACTAGAAAAGGAAGGACGATCCCTGTTGTAAGCAAGCTGTTCTGTACCACTGAAATTGGGAGGGTGGTGTGCATCAATGCGTGAGGAACAGTGGGGGGGGGGGGGGGGGACAAGGCGGCCAAAAAAAAAAGGGCCGCAGATTGTGATTGGGCAATGCATGTTTCGGCCAGAGTCAGCCTCTCACGCCGGGAAACTAACCGAAGATGGGCGGGGAGCACTGCGATTAGATGCCAGGCTTTCGGCGCTGCCATTCTCAATGCGAGTGCCGTTCTCGGCCTCACCCGAGACGTTGGCGGGAGCCACGACCCGGCCAGTCTTTGATTCGCGGTCCGCAGCCTTGCGGCTTTTTGTCGGCTCTTCGGCCTTCCTGGGCTCCTGCGGGGCGGCAAACCTGGAGAAATCGCTCGAGTCGAGGGCGGGCATGCTTCGGCGCCGGAGCCGCTTTGCCTCGTCCTCGTTGATTTGACGGCGGTGCGTCTGCGAATCGTCGGTCGGAGCCACAGGATTGACGCTGTAAAGGCTCGTGGGTCTGCTGGTGCCGGAAGACGGGGTCCTGTTCCTCACCATGTTGGGCCGCTGGTCCTGAGTGTAGAGATGATTGACGTTGGCCATGCCAGATCCCGAAGGCTGCGCAGAGGTCTGTAGCCGCGGCAGCGGCGGAGCAGTGACACCTTCCATCGTGCGAGGCACCGGCCTCCTGTACCGCTCAGGAGAAACGCGAATCGGAGTGGCCTGGGTGAAGGTGACCTGGGTTGCCATGGCGGTAGCAGCACCGGTCAGATGGACCGACTGCGGACGAGGCGCTGTGGGATGTCTCCGTCCACCAACGGCAGGGAGGCTAGAGTCGTCCCTCGAGCCGCTGGCGTTGTAGCCAGCGGAGATGCCCTGTGAGAGATTTGTCATCGAGGCACTGGCGGGGTAGCGTGGCCGTCCGTTCGCGGCATCAAAGCCCTGCATAGTGGGAACGGCAGGAGACGATGCGGTCCTGTACGATGCCGCATTTTGCTGCCGAGGAGCGCTCGGGTGGTAGTTCGGCGTGCTCGTGAAGGCATACGGCTGGATGGGCCCAGAGCTTGTGCGGTAGGCTTGCTGGCCCCCGATAGGCCCAGAGTTCCCGTAGAAGCTGTTCCTCTGGCCCTGGTTTCCTCCATACGGTTGGTTCTGTGGCTGGCCTTGGGGAAGCATCCCGGAAGAGGATGACGGTCGGGTCTGAAGCATGGTGATGGTTCCTGACTGCTGAGGGTACGATTGCACCAGGGCAGCCATATCGAGGGGGCAGATATCGTATCAATGGCTTCGTCGCTCAGCGTCAAGGTCCGCACCAGGCTTCAGATAATGAATGGCAATCCGGTATCCGGTTGGACGTCGGGTTCGATGCGAAAGAGGATGTTGGGATTACGGGGATGGTCGGGTCGAGAAAGGACCGCGAGTTTGAAACGAAACAGACGAAATCTGGTGAGATAGGAATGCCGTTAGTAAATAAAGTACGGATCAAATGTCCCAGGCGAGCAGCGAGCGGACACGAGGACTTTCGCGGCGGCGTCTGTCAAATCTGGTTCCAGCTTCCGAGAAAGCAACCACGCGGGAGCAGGCTGGAAAACGTGGAAGAAGCAGAGAAAGACGAGCGCAAAAAGAGGACGTGAACACCAAGGTAGGCGGAGTCGATTCGGGAGTGACTTGCCAGATATAAACGACAGTGACGACTGGGAAATCGAGCGAAGAGAAGATTAAAAAAAAAAAAACCAAAGGGCGATGCAGAGCAAAGGATGGCGGAAGGCACAGCAGTCAAGGCCGAAGGAACGACGGCAAGAAACAGAGGCGAGTAAAACGAGCGTGAAGAGCAAAAAGAAAACGGAAGGACGCCTGCGGCCGCTGCTGTTGGATGCTTGTTTTGGGATGGTGAAGTAACGAGCGGTAGGGAACGGCTCACTTTCACCACGAACGATGTCCCCAGCAGTGGTTGATCTGTATCGTGATGTGAAGGAAGAATGTCAGACAAAGAGTGTGCCACACACTCGAGCTGAAGCCAGTGCGTCTCCGTGGTGACAGAGCGTCGGCCTCGGGGTGAGGATTCCGTAGGGCGGGCCTGGCTTGTGCTGTGCAAGAAGGACGAGGTGTCTGGAGGCACAACGAGCGAGCAAAGGGCACCTGGGTAAGTGGCCAGGGCTTTTCCTTGGTCTCTCCGCCCTCATTACAAGTCTCTGGTGGAGAGGAAGGATCGGGAGACCAGGCTAGAGATGTCGCATCACGGGGGAAGTGGCTTTCGGTTCCAGGCCACGGATTGAGGCAGGCAGACAGGCATACGGGCAGGCAGGACCAGCAGGCGAGCAGAGCGACAGAGAGTGGCAATACGTACGGTCTTTTTTTGGCGCTGGCAGGTGGCCGGGCCAGGTCGAGATCGAGTCGGATAGGCAACAAGGCCTGGCGACGGCTGTGTTTAGGACGAACAAGGCCACCGCGACGGACGACGCTACAATGCGGTGGGCACGGAAGGGCGATGCAGCAGACAGGAAGGTCGGACCACGCAACCACGACGACGACAGCAAAGACGGGGAGACGGACGAAGGGAATGGCAACGACGACGACAGAAATTGGAAATTATTACAGGAACGATTGGGGGATTGGGGGATGGGGAGGGAACCGGGGGGGAGGGCAGGGCAAGGGCAGGACAGGACAGAGGTAGCGAGGGAAAGGGGGCAAGGACGAGGGCAGAAAGGAAGGAAAAGCGAGGAAGCTAGGGGTTTGGCTGCAAGAGGAAGTCGGGACGAGGGTTTTTTTTTTTGGGGCGCGATGTTCGCCTCTGGGGTGCTCTCACGGAATTTCTTGCATCTCAAAATGAAGGGTCCCCGTCTTGGACGTGCTGGAAACCGCTGCTGCTGCTGCCGGGCGACTGCTGCTTGCTGCTAAGCCCACTTCAACTGGGCTTGGCCCACCAGGTCGGCACAGGCCACCTGGACCAGGGGCAGGCAAAAGGGACGCAGGACAGCGCGCCGCCCCCCACCTCAGCGACCCCGAAAAAAGAAAGAAAAAATACCAGCAGTGCAGCAAGCTTGGTGTGCCCAGAAAAGAACGGGCGTGCAGCCAACGGCAAGGTACCTGGCGCTGGAGCATGCAGGCTGCGCCAGCAGCACGACGTGCCGTGCTAGCTCGCGGACCGTCCACCACCTGGACTGACTCCCACCCATAAACCTACCTGCTCCTGCCAGAATATTTTGTCCATGATGCATCATCCCAGCTGGCCCTGACTTGACAGCCCATTGATTGTCAGTGGCCTGCTGCCTTTTGACGTTTTGGGTTTCTCATCGCGCACCAGGGCGGCCGACGGCAAGCCAGCCCATCCTCGTCACCGATACGGAGCGTTTTCTTCCTTGCCCCTGGTCATGGATTTCGATTCAGCAACACCCTTTTCGTTGTGCTGCAGCGCACCAGCAGCTTGCTCGGTGCCTTTCGCCGGCGGGTGGGCTACAGCTGCTGCTGTTAGTGCGGCTGTACCTCGACCGCCAGCCACTGCAGCTCCCGCGGGCGGGGAGGTACAAGGCCTCTACATAACACCACCGCTAAAATGGCGGGCGTGCTTGGCTCAACTCCACCGCATCATACCCATACCCAACTGGGGCTCCGTAAGTGATTCCTGCTCCCTCCCTCGGCCCCATCTCGCATCTGGCAAAGCCCACATCCAAGGGTTCCCCAGGGCCAGATGATGCCTGTCGGCAGGCGTGGCGGGCTCTCACCATTGGCTGCGGCTGGGGACACATCTCGCGCTAGGCCGAAGGGGTGGCCGTGGCCCGATTTGAAAGGGAATAAATCAATGATCTGTTTGTTGTTTCCGGGGAGGGGCGTGGTTGTTGTGTTTTTTTCTTTTTCTCCTTTTTTTTTTTCTTGCTGCCTTTGGTCCATGTCTTTTCTGCCAGGCGCGCGATCAATGCGATGACAGCACACGGACTAGTACTAGTATGGTTGTGCACAAAGCATGGGAAGCGGCCACACGCACCCACGTCTGTCCGTACTTTTGTTATTTTGATCCAGAGGCGTTGGTGAAGCTTGTTTATTTTATTTTTCCCACGCACAAAATAAAAACAAAAAGTAAACAAACACACGCCACCTGAGGCGGTTCAAAATAGAACGCGGCATCCAGCGTTTGGGGGTGAAGGGTTTTGGGCGATTCGCGATTTGGATCTGCCTCTGAATTCTAACGAGCCAGCACGGTGCATGTTTGGTTCTTGCCCGGGTTGGATTGATGCCATCATTTCCGCGCTCACATCATTCCCAAGTCCGGCGGTGGGGGTGTGGTTGCGTCTCCTGCCTGGACAGGGCGCCTGGCGCGATTGGCTGGCAGTCCTCGAACTCAACCTGGCTTGACTCTGTGGAATCTCGTTCCAGAAGCACCTGAAGCTGAAGCAGACACGCGCTCACGCATGGCGGAGGACGCCGCCACGCTCCATCTCTGTCCATTTTTTTTTTGTTCCCTCTCTTGTTTTATCGGTCAAGCGGGAGCCGCCATGTGCCGTGGGATTGCCGGTTTTCCGGTCCATCATGACAAAAAGGCTGAGGTGGACGTGACGGTCGGCGTGTCAGTCCTGGTGAGAGCGTCCGAGCCCCCTCCCCTCTCCCAGAGAAAAATGTGGGCTCGACGGACAGGCAAAAAATATCTTTATTCCCGAGGCTTCCAACACCTAGGTTCGACTCGTATAATGGACGTCGATTGTGTTCTGTCATGCCCGTCCCCTGTCGCCGTGCTTGTCCTAGCCGGCCCCCCACGAGAGGGAGAGTGCCACCACCTGAAAAGAATAACGTGCACCCACAACCACCGCAAAAAATACCAAACCAAACCAAACCAACTCAATCAATTGCAGTGCCTCAACACCACAACAAGAATGATTTAAATACTGGAAAAATAGCAAAAGGGGAGGGGAAATGGCAGCCTATTAAATTGCATATAAAAATAAGTTTGTGCGATGAATTGTTGTGGAGAAATAGCCTCGAAGTAAAGGCCCATTGGTTGTGAGTGCGCGTTATTCTTTTCATGCGGTGAGTGCCCACTCTCGCAGGGAGCCGCCAAGGGTGCTTGGCTCCGGTCGAGTGCAACGTGCAAATATTATCAGGGTCCCGATTTCCAAGGTCAGACTGCAAATCGTCTGTTTTGACGGTGAGATGATGACGGCCGACCTGCCCCGACGCAGCGGTGATGCCCCGACAACTACCGCCCGTGGTGGCTCCCCCGAGCCTCACGACGAAGAGAACGAACGCCCCGTTGGGTTTGGAGAAGAGACATGGGTGGCCCCAGCGGTTGGGCAGGGCCATGTCGACGTTGTATCGCTCTGTGAAATGCCACTTTCCATCGGCCACCCGAGTCCCGTCCGGATCCTACGTGCCCTGGCCCGTCCCAGTCGCAACCCTGTCCTGACACAAGCCGAACCACCTAATACCTACAAGCTCCACCCGGCAACAGAAGTTATGCAGTTGGCGAAGACAGAGAGGGTGTGACCCAATCAACCTGATCCGTATGCTTTTTCTATTGTATCGAGCCACGCTTGCCATAGGAATAAATGCTGTACGCCTACCCACCGAGGTAGGCGACGGGTTGCTTTTATATCATGATGGGTGTTTGTTAATAACCGCCTCTGACTTGGGCTCTGCCTTGGTTCCCCCCTTGTTATTTACAGCCGAAAGCGGCAGGAGGTAAACAAAGGCTCGTGCGACGTCCACCATGCAGCCATCCCTCGCGTCGTCGGGCATATACCCAAAGCAAGAAGTTCAAGTCTATCGGCATTCCCGTAGCAGATTGGAAAACCCTGCATGTAAACCTGTCTGTTGTCTCTCTGGCATGAATGGAAGTTGCCCAGTGCCTACCAACCTACCTTGGCTACCTCTACGGGATCAAAGGTCAAGCTCAGAAGAAAGACACGGCCGGACGGAAGAGCAAGAGTACGTGGGCTGCGTCGCTTCTCGTTCATTCTCGCGCCTTGCCCCTCCCTCCCTCCTGCAAGGTGCATTCATGGCATGCAAGCTGGTGGACGCATCCTGCAGCTGCAGGCGAGCAGAAGGTGCCGGGTTGGCCAGTAGAGGCCGCGGTCCGCCCGGCGCCGTCTCGTTTCAGATTCAAACCTCGGCGGGTAGGGCCAATTGGGGGCGCTGGCTCTCCCGCATCTCTGCCATCTGCATGTTGGCTTTGCTGGTGCAGAACGTCGCCCGGTAAGAAAAGGCCCCACGGCCCCTAATGTACATGCTCGCCTCCGTGCTGATACCTACTTTTGCCGTGCCGTCCAATCGGTCGCCATCTGTGTTTGCATGCCTTGCGGTCTGCCGGCTCTTTTCTTTTCTTTTCTTTTCTTTTCTTTTCTTTTCTTTTCTTTTCTTTTCTTTTCTTTTCTTTTCCTGTCCTTTCGCCTTCTCTCCTCGCAACCGCAGCCGCAGCCGTAGCCGCAGCCGCAGCCGCAGACAGACATTCATGGATGATGACACGCGGACACACATGTGCTAGTTTAGTGCCCCCCATTGAAGGCGTGTTTGAACCCTCCGATATGCAAACAGCAGGAAAGATGGAGGAGAACGACGAAGAACCGGGGACGGACCCGTCGGTCGGAGAAAACAGCAGCAACGTCATCTACATTCCGATTCGCCCACCCCCTGGCGTGTCCTCCCCCCCTGGTTCCCCCGACAAATATGTGGTGTGTGCGTGTTCAGTTGGGCAGATGGTCGCTCGCCTAGAAAGACTCCTGGCCTGAACGAACGAACTACTGCCTGGCCGCCGTCCACTGCACGTTTGAAACAATCCTCCCGCGTGTTGATGCCGATCACCTGTGTGTGTCCCGTCTGGCCTTCCTCCTGTCATACCAACTGCAAAGAGGGCCTGGGTCGGACGAAGGAACGCTGGCAGACGGATTCTTTGCGTATCGATCATAGCCCGAACTGAACTTGACGTAGGTGCGCGTCCCTCAAAACACCAGTGACGTTATTGGGGGACTTGCTCGGGCCGGACGTTGGCTTGTTTGGTCTTGCTCTGGAGGCGTCTTACGTTCCTTTGCCTCGCACCGTATGCTGAGGTGGTTGAGTCGAATGGTCCAGCCTCACCAAAGGAGCGTGTGGCATGTGTCCTCACCGCCGGCGGAGCCGCGCAATGTTATTCCCCCTCGTTTGTTCATCCCCTTCGGGGCTGACGTATACGCCGGTGTCTCCCCAAAAAGAACACCGCGGGCATCCGTCAAAACGTCGGCCGTTGTTGGGAACGGCGAGCCTGTTCCAAGCAAGCGCCCCCCTTTTTTTTTTCTTGGCCTAACAGTAACAACTAGGTACATAGCCCCTACCTAGTTATGTAGATAGCGGCCTTGGAGGGGAACCGTTCCATCGCTCGTGCGACGTCAGCTGTCGTTCGCTCGGGCCCCGACGCGGTCCTGCCGGCGACGCCGGCTCGTGTGCAAAGGCCGCAAACAATTCGGACAGCAAATTCTTTCCCCAGGCTCACGTCTGGCGGGAAACGCCGGTGCGTTCGCGTTGACCTTGGGGGCTAGGTAGACAAGTCTGGGGAAATGCCCTCATCTCATCAAAGCGATTCGGGCGCCCTCCCCCTTTTTGGGATAGGATTTATTTCGCCTGTTCATCCCAAAATGGAAGACTATCGCCCGGGCGCGCGCACTATATCCGAACATGGAAATTGCGGGAGAGCGACAGATCTGACCACCTTTAAATCACGCTTTAGTGATTTTTGGTGTGCTCGACGACACCTTTCTCGTCTGGTGCTAACTTTGTTAGAACTGAAGCCCTTGGGCATCACATCATGGATGAACAAGGTATATGGCTATTCCAGAACTCTCAACCGGACCGGGGTTCTCCTGTCGAACATGTGCATCAGCGACCATTTGTGGTCCATTCAGCAAGGCATTGTGCGTCTGTAACACAAACATCATGCCGGGCAAGCTAAAGGTAATTACAAGCCGAGTTGCGGACAGGGCAAGGCAGGGGGTATGTGGTCAAGGCACGACCAGCTCTGCCTGCCTCGCATGTGCTGCTGTCTGTGTGAACAACAAGCAAACAAATACAGCACAAGCACAGCCTCAGCTAGCAAGCAATGGGAGCAAGCAACAAGGCGAGGCGGTGAGGGCCGCAGCTGGGCTTGCGACAGGGCTTGGCGCTGCCACAGGTTGCTCAGACGTCGCGCGATTGGGGCCCATACCATCCATCCAGCAGGGCGCGGGCACGGCGGGCTGCTGGTCGGCGGCTAGACCAGGCGACTCCCTGTCTGTTTTTTTCTTTCTTTCTCATAATTCACTTTTTTTGGACCGCTTGGGCCGAGTCCATGCGGCAATGACGTCCCATGGCTCCTTTTTTTTTTTCTCCTGTTGGGTTTGTGCTTTGTCAGTCTTGCAGAACCATGTCCGTGCTTACGGTGCCGAAAAGACGAGGCGGCCACGGCAGCTCTTGTTAATCCCGACCGAGCCCGGTGTGCGCCCGCGCACCGCCCAGGGCCGAGGGCTGGTGGTCAGTGAGACGGAGGGACAGCAGCAGATGTTTATTTCTTCCTCTTCTTTTCTTTCTTCTTTCCCTCGGTACCCGCCGTGTGCGGCGCAACACGAGCCCTCGGCCTTGTTTGTGGCCCCTCTCCATGGCGGTCCGGCGGGTGGATAGAATAGGCATCTCCCAAGAGGGCGCGTGTGTGATTTGGCTTGGTTTCAGACACATTGATACCCCCCCTTGGCCTATTTGGCTTCCGGGGCGCCGTTCCACCTCGTCCTACAAGGGCGCCCGTCGCCGTGACGCGGAGCCCGGCAAGGTCCGAACCCGGGATCCCTGACATGCGAGGGTGCGCCGGCCGAGGGTGTAGGGGCTGGCGGCAGTTGCCTGGCACCCACTAAAACTAAAAATCAAGACCGCGAAAAAGAGGCTCCTGTTTCAAAGTCAATTAACACCACTAGAAAAAATAGTCAGCATTTAAAAAATTCGGGTTTATAGTAAGGGATTGGATTGGAATTAAAATAATTAGCAATGGCCTGGGTCCGTGCTTTTTTGGGCGTGTTATGGTGCTTTGGCATACTGCAATCGAATTGATTGAATTTGTTTTAATGTTTTTTGCTATAGAGTTTGGGTAGGGAAAAGTATTTGGCAGTCTTGATTTTGTTTTCAGTGAGTGCCTGGGTCCATGGCACGGAAGCCGGGAGTGTCGGCTTTGGGTCACGGCATCTGCCACTACACCCAAGACTCCCAAGCCTGGATAGTTGGACGGCCCATCTGGTTGTGATGTTTTGAGTAGCAGAGACAGGTAGAGACAGGTAGAGACAGGGGAGCTGAGGCACAGACTCGAGCATATGCAAGGCTGGTCGGGTCGTACAGCAGCTGTCGTGCCTCCCGAGAGGGCCTTGTGCTGGTGGCGGTCAAAGTCTAGACCCCCGCAGATCACAGCACTGGCGGTATACCATGTTTGCTATGCATAGTATAAATGCCTCTGACATTTTCCCTATCCAATCGCTGCCCGTTGAACAGCCTGATTTCAAGCAAGCATTTCGAGCAAGCTAAACGGGGCTGGGAGGGGAGACGCCAGCTTGGCCACCTGGACCTGGGTCGACTAAAGCGAGACATTATCGGGGTCGGATGGGTCATATTCGCCGTCATCAGCGAGGCCGATACGATCATGTGTGTGGGGACTGGGGCGGTTTGTTGTGGGGGTCTGGTCATGCTGCGCAGGAATACGAGGGAAAAAAGGAAGGGAGAGGGAAAAGGAAACGAGGCGAATGAGGGATAGCCGCCGATATGGTTCCTACATGTTCCCCCAGCTCCCTGCTGCACCATCGCTGGTGCTATTCATAGCACTCGCCCTGTTTAGAGCAGCCGAGGTCCAACGGCGGCCCGCACCCGGGACCATACACGGTGGATCGTGGACACCGGATACCGGCCGGCAAAAGCGGATGCTGAGTCTCGGGACGGAACGGCTGTCCGGCTTGTCTGTCGGGCATGCCAGCACGGCACACACCGGGCCTCTTGAAATGGCCCCGCTTGTCCTTGTGCCGCCGCCCCTCTGAGCAGCACGCCCACGGAATCCTTTCGGGGCTTTGCTGACCCGATCGATCAGAAAGGGGCTAAACACCGGCGAATCAGCGCTGACAGCTCAGCTCGCCTAGCCGGCTGAACAGCGCCGCACCCAGGATCGACGAAGCAGGGGCCTCTGATGAGCGTAGGGTAAATGTCGAATCTGCAGCATCCCCGTCTCTCCGGCGGGATGCCAGCCTGCCAATATCGCCAGCCATGGTCGGCGTCCCTCGGAGCCGCGGCTGTGGTCTTTGCCTGAAGCGCCGCGTCAAGTGCGACGAGGCCCGGCCCGCCTGCGCAAACTGCTCCAGATATGGCCAGGCGTGCCCTGGGTACGAGAAGCCCCTTAAGTTCGTCGCCAGCAAACACGCCGTCCGCCCCCGCCGGGGCCAGCAGCAGCAGCAGCAGCCGTCGGAAACCCAACACCAAAACGGGGCCGCGCCCGTGGCTGACGCCGAGGCGGGCGCATCCGGCGCCGGCGTCGTGGCGGGTCCGCCCACGGTCGCCGCCCGTGTCCGCCCGCGACCGCAGCTCCAGCCCGTCGCCGTCCTCCTCCCGGACCTGGGCGTCGACCGGGCACAGTTCGTGTCGACGCTGATGGACAGCATCTTGCGGGACCAGCCCGACGCCGAGCTCTCCTTCTTCCGGCCCTGGTTCCGGGCCGTGCCGGAGCGCCTGGGCGCCAAGGTGACGCTCGACAGCGCCATGTGCGCCCTGGCCCTGCACCTCCTGGGCAAGAGCAGGGCCGACGCCGGCCTGGTCTCGCGGTCCCGCGTCCTGTACGGCCGGTCCATCCGCGCGCTCCAGCACGCCCTCAACCACCCCTCGGAGTGGAGAACGGCCGACACGCTCTGCGCCGCCACGCTTCTCTGCTTTTACGAGGTTCGTGCGTGCGGGGAGGCTCCGTCCGCCTCCGCGGTATCGCCTGACACCCCCTCATCCACCGTCCTGACACCGCCCTGACCTCGTCTCTGTTTCCGGCAGCTTTTTGCTGGTACCTCTAGCCATGCGGCGTGGATGGCCCATGCCAGGGGCGTCATTCGCGTCGTACAGCTCCGCGGCCCGGACGCCTACATGACGAACCGCTTCGATAAGATTTTGCTGCTGGCCTTTCGTGCAATCATCATAATGAACGCCATGTTCTCCATTCAAGACTGCTTCCTTGCGCAGAAGCCATGGCAGAGAGTGCTGCGTACGTAGCCATGTCGTTTCTTGAACACAACCCGCATGAACCTGAAACTAAATATCTGATAGAGCACCTAGGCGCCGACCTCGAGATACATACCCTCCCCCCAGAGCTCGTCCCGGGGGTAAACATCTATTTCCGGAACCTCGCCAGGATCCCGTCCTTTGTGCGTCGCCTCCTCACCATGCGCATAGCCAAGGACCACGGGATCCCGCCCAGCCCGGCCCAGGTCGCCGCCCTCCGCCGCGACGCCGAGGCGCAGCTGCTCGAGGAGCTCGCCTGGGCGGCCTCGGTCGGGGACGCGCTGCTCCCGCCGGCCAGGGAGGTGCCGTCGCGGGACCCGGCCTCCCCCTTCGCCACCGTCCTGCGCCACGAGAGCCGGTGGGCCGGGAGCCTGCAGATGAACCACTGGGCGACGCGGCTGATCCTGCAGGCGACCGTCAACGAGTGTGGCGGCCGCGGCGCCGAGGACTTCAGGCCGCTCAACCGTCTTCTCGCCCATCGCATCTTCCGCTCCGTCGAGCTCGTCGGTCAGGGTCTCATGGGCCCTCTGAGGTGCTCGTACCCGCTCCGGATCGCCTACGAGTTCTCCACGCCGGAGCTGCGGCCGTGGATCCAGCGTGTCGTCGCTGGGTTCGAGACCAGGTACGCGGCCACCAGTATCAAGGACTATCCCGAGGAGATGCAAGAGAGGTTTGCGTGAAAGAGCCGAGCGGATTGGTTTGGATGTATTAAAGTCTATGTATGGGCTGTACAGCCCTGCGGTATTATCTTGTCGGCCGACGACCTGCGCTGCCAGAGATGCTTGGTTTATGGTGGCGCTTTTTACCTGCTGAGTCTATCCAGGACGAACTGAAGCGCTTGATGGCCGTATACCTTGCCGTACATTTGGTGGTACGCCGTGCTGTTCCCCTTGGCACAGAAAGGGTCAGGGTCGTCGCAGTAGGACTGAATCCTGTCTGCAAACGTTGGGCAAGTGAAGTTGGCAGCCCGAGCGGCGAACTGATGTCGGACAAATGAGGATACGTGTTAGTTTCTTTTTCAACTGCTCTATACCGCTTCCTGCATCGAAAAAAATGAGAAAACTACAGGACAGGACAAGATAAAAAAAAAAAAGGAAAAACATACCCCTGGCTCGGTGGCGTTCCCCCTGTTGAACGCGATCCCCTCGTTGTGCCGCGGGCTGCCCATCATGACGGCGGCGGCCACCACGGCGGCCACGGCCGGCTGCAAGAGCCCCCCGACGCCGACGCCCGCGGGCAGGCTGGCGCCGTCGGGCCCGCCGCACAGCACGTCGTCGACGACCTGCCCCCCCTGCGAGTAGCCGTGCAGCACCACCCTCGTGCCCGGGCACTGCGAGCTAAAGGTGGTCAGGCGCGCCAGCAGGGCCGCGATGCCGGCCGCCACGCTCTGGGCGTACAGCGCGCCGCCCGCCGCCGGGTAGTCGACCGCCTCGGCCGTCGCGCCCGGGATCGCGCCCAGCACCAGGCCGACCAGGTCGTCGGCCGTGCCGAACCCGGGCGGCGCCGTCGTCTCGCGCGCCGCCATGACGTGCGCCGGCGGGCACGCCATCTTGACGGCGCCTAGGGTGAATATGCCCGGCGGCGGGGGTTGCTGGGCGGTCGCGAGGGTGGCCCAGAGGGCTGCGAGGGCGCCGAGGAGGGCTGTTGTTTTGGTGGTGGTAGGTGGTGATGGCTTCATTTTTTGGTCTCTTTTTGGGTGCAAGGTATATAACATAGAGGGGTGCTTTTTTTTCAAACTTGTTCCCACCGGACTCAGTGAAGCTCCTAGACAGCATATGGGAGAGATGAAGTGTCCGGACAGTGACACCCATCTGTTTTTGTAGAAGCCGAGACCCCAACCAGTGCCCTGTGGCTAAAGCGCTGAAGCATACCGGGCCGCCGGCCACATCAATTATCCACCACGCGATCCATCGCCATGATCTGCGGGCCCTTCCGGCTGAATTGCGGGCTGCCGCCGAATTACGCCTTTGAGGCCGTCGCGGGTCGGGACTGCTGACCACAACACACCCAGAGTTTCACCCCTGATGATCGACGGTTCCAGCCCATGTGCCACTGACGCCCATCGTTGATGCATCATTGATCCCACGCGGCACTCCCGGCCCGATGGGAGAAAGAAGGAGACAGAAGAGAAGCGTGCGGTCTTTCAGTTTAGTGCGGCGATGGATCTTCGATTTCCCGTTTCGGGCTCCGTTGGAAGGGGATGCGCTTTCCTGTCTCTTTCGTCACTTACAAGTGGTCTGGCAGGCTCGACCTCGTTCCCCTAGCTTTGAATTTTGGATCGCGTGTTGATGACGATAGTGGATGTACGATCTCGAACCTTGTCAAAGCCATGGCGACGTGCCTGATTGTCGATCTACCTGTTCGTGCTCTTCACCCCATTTCAAACCCCATGCGCACTCCTGCCGCAGCTTACGTCAAAACAGACCACCTACCCTGGCCCTTCATCCTCCCTTCGGAATCAATCTCTCAGCGTCGTCCCACCGTCTCTCTGGCATAGTTCTAGTAGACATGGCGCTTCCACAAAACCCGCTCCGCCTTCTTTTCAACCTTTTCGTCATCTCGGTGCTGCTCGCGGCCGCAACGGCGAGGCCATCAGCCGACGGCGGCCCTCGGATCGTGAGCCGACGGCAGCTGGTCATCGACCCGCCCACCATGGCCTGCGGGCCCTGCACACAGGAGGGTGTCAAATGGTGCACCCGGTGCTCCATGGCCCACGAGATGCGCTGCGCCGACGAGTTCTCGGTCCCGTGCGAGCCGGCTACCGACCATGGCACGCCTCGGCCGGAGGACCGAGGATGGACTTCACAGACATAGAGGGGCTAGGGCTAGGACTATGGACAGTGCTCTGGAGTGTGCTGTAAGGGGTTGTAGAAACTTCTTCCGCGTCCCTTGAAAGTTAAAATATCCCACGAGGTCCGAGGAAGAGATATCGAGGTGGAAGAAGCGGTCCTTGAACAAGCGGCACCTATCTAGCCGGTCCTCTCTAAACATCGTCAACCATGTATATCAACAAGAAACGACGACTTTGACGCTGTTCCCAGGGAATAGAGTGGCCCCGCGCCTTGTGCAGCCTCGCCCCCAACTCCCGAAGTGCTGAAGCTATATCAACAAGCCTCGTCCTAGGACTCCCACCGAGCGACCGATTACGACCGAGTTTACCCAAGTCGACCGTCGGGTGCCCCCAACCTTATCCCGAGCCCGCGAACTTTGTCCCCCCCGTCCTCCCGAGGTCGACGGTTCGAGTCCCGGCTGCGACACGAAAAGATGCCCAAAAAATGGGCAAAGTGAATTCAGAGGGGGCGGGTACCCATGGGCGGTTGGGAGGGGGGTGCCTGCCCTCCAGGGGGGTCCAGGGGGTACGGAGGCTAGTTAGGTGGTAGATGGGCGCTTAGCTAGCATGCCGTAGCGTGATGTGTGACCTGGGGAGGATGCAGTGTAGGCCTCGTGCTGTAGAGTCCGTCCATGTCCACCCACCCACCCACCCACACCTGTAGAGTCCACACTGTAACTCGAAGTAAAACCCTCCAGTGAGGGTTTTCGTAGCTGTTCACCCCCATCCGGGGTTGGGCGGTGAGCTTTTTGTCATATTTATATTCTTTGTAAAATATAAGTTTGCTAGACCTTGTTGCCTCAGTTTTCATATTGTAAAATCCCTTCTTTTAGCTTGTCTTGGCAGCAGCTTCGATTTGGCACCTTTGGCACATACACCAACCTCCGAGACTGCCACTAGCCCATTCGCGCCGTTGCTGAACTGACATATCGACATCGCAATAGTGGTTCAACACCTCCTCGCCGGCTTTTATACCAGCAGGTTGTCGACGGACAGTAGCAGCAGCCCCCTGGGCGTCCTTGTCGTCGCCATCGCTTTGCCTTTTAACCCAAGCCACGCGTTGCTCCCGAGCCTTCAAGCACATCTTGCCGCCCCACTCCCAGGTGACGTTTGGGTCGCAGTCGTGGTTGGCGAGGCACCAAAAGGGGTGGACGGCAGCGACGTCGGGCCTGCCGTCGCGCGTGCTCTTGCGCGCCGACGCCGTGCCACGGAACTTGGCGTAGCACGTGTTGAGCACCCAGACGTCGTGCCGCGCCAGCGTCGCGTAGACGTCGACGTCCATGCGCTCCAGCACGTGCAGCGGCGCCTCGACGTTGAACTTGAAGGAGAAGGGGAGGGTGCAGCCGGGGCGGGTGTGGAAAGACAGGTCCCCAGACCCGTCGTCGTCGCCGTCGTCGCCGTCTTCCCTGTCCCGCAGCGCCGGCGGATTCGAGGCAAAGTCGCCCCAGATGTACTTGATCTCGCGCACGTCGAGCGGGTGGAGATCCTGGTGCGCGGCCATGGCGAGCAGGCGCGCGAGCAGGAGGAGGTAGAGCGAGTGGTCCACGTCGGCGGCCTCGGGGTCCTTGGAGATGGAGTCGACGCCCAGGTCGCAGACGGCTGGGTGGTAGAGCTCCATGGCGCGGTCGAAGCAGTCCTGGCTGCAAAACACGGCGTCGCTGCAGTCCGGGCACTCGACCGCCGCGCCCTCGGAGCCGAGCTCTGGCAGCTCCTCCCCGCAGGCGTCGCAGACGGGCTCCTGCAGCCGGTTGTTGGCCGTGAGCGCCGAGAACTCGCGCAGGACGACCTCCCCAGGGGCCATGTCTTGGGCTGCGAACACGCCGAGTTGTTTGCAGGTCGTTGATGTTGGGGTGGCGGTTGCCGACTGCTGGTCCTGCTGCTGGCCACCGTCAAACAGGATGGGCAGCTCCGATGCCTTGACCACACACTTGGGTGCCATCTTGGCGAGCTCAGCATTGAGAAAGGCAAGGGACTCTTCCGAGAATCGGTCGGGTTCGTGCGTATTCCAGGGGTAAACCTCTCGGCGAGCGAGGCCACTGTCCGGCAGGTCTTCGGTATCGTACGAGTCCCGCTTTAGCCTCGAACGGGCTGCTGCATCGACTCTGCGTCTTAGGCCAAGAAGCTCCTTCTCGCCTGGGAAGGATGCTAGGCCCCTTTCGCAGAAGATGTGTGCACTCTTCAGGCAGCCGCATAAAAGCAGACTTAGGGACAGAAGGTGAAAGCAGCGGAGCAGGGCCGCTGCAACGAGCTCAGCGTGCTTCGTGGCATCATCGGTTAGCTCGGGTTTGGCGGTCATCTGAGGAACATGTCGCAGCATCTCTGGGAGGTTGTTGTTAGAGTACTCTTCCAGGCTCTCGACGGCTTGCTCATGGTACTCGAAGCCTTCGTTGATGACCTCGTCTGTCAGAAGGAGAGCCCGGTAGGCATCGCCGCAGGCAAGATCAGGGTATTCCAGACTCGAATACACGGCGCTGCGCTGGAGATACAGGACCAAGTCATAAGGGGAGGCCTCGATGGCTTCGGTCAACTCTTGACGTCGCTCCAGGAGTCCGGCCAAGCGCGAGCCCGGGGGATTTTTCGAGCCGTTTGACATCACCACAGTCGGGTATGTAAGCAGCTGGTGAGGTTTCTTTCATGTACTTTATGCCCAAAGTACAGGCATGAGATGCTCAGGTTGCCTGTTCCTCTCGACTGGTGTGGGTCTGGCTTAGAGCGAGGTGTGAGACCGGGCAATCACCCCGTTGATTCCTTGAATATCAAGTTTGAATGGTAGGTAGGGGGGGCTTTCTTTTGGCAAGAGCTTCAAGTTCAAAATATAGATTTGACAAGAAGTCCGCCGAAGGGGTGATGTTTCTAGTCCCAACTTGGACGGTTGTGTGAGTGTGGAAAATTTTGATGCGGGGGGATTTAGCAGACAGGGCTGTGAGCACAGAAGCAGCCCGAATAGGGGCTGATGTGCTCTTGCTCGGTTGGTGTTCAGGCTGCCGACTGTGGATTCACGTGCGCGCTCCCATTCACATAAAAGGCGCCCTTCTCGTAGTTCCTGCTTTGAATTCTCTCTGCTCCAAATTCTCACTCTTTCTCTTCTGCAGTCATCAAATCGTGCTGACTTTCTCTGGGCGTTTCCTCACTCGTTGGTCAGAGACTGTGCGTGGATTCGATACTCATACTGTCTTTGCTACATTGCCGTCGTTTGGCAAATCGCTTGGCCTGCCCTTTGATTTGATTCCTGTAGCCAACATCAACGCCTTGGCGGATCCGACCCTCCCTGCTAAATCCACCTTGATCCATCTCCAACAATCGTAAACCTTGGAGCTACCATCCTCTTTGTACACACAGATTACTTTGCCTTTAGTCACCTGCGTCAAACGGACAGATCACCCCTAAAAATGTCGCAAACTCAGAGTCTCCCTCAGTTCCTGTCGGGCGATGCGACGGCGATAGCTGAGTTTCTCGACAAGTTTGACGTGCGTGGTGTTCAAGAGGATGAATAAAATAGAGGGCAACGAAGTCTTTCTCCGAGTAATATGGAGTGCTCACATGAACTATCATCTAGACATTTCTACTTGACTGTGACGGTACGGACGCCATGTCGAAACTGTCATCACATATCCTTGTGCTGACTGTATAACAGGTGTCCTCTGGTCCGGCGATCACGTCTTTGAGGGCGTGCCCGAGACCATTGCTATGCTGAGAGCTAAAAGTCAGTAACGGTTCATAGCCTCTTCTGTTTGCGCAGCCCCTGAGGAGCTACAGACTCATAGATAAACAGACAAGAGAACTGTGTTCGTGACCAACAACTCGACCAAGTCACGGGCCGAGTACCAAAAAAAGCTGGCATCCAAGGGCATCGATTGCGAGGTCGACGACATCTTCGGCTCTGCCTACTCGGCCGCCATCTACATCTCGCGCATTCTCAAGCTGCCAGGCCCCAAGAACAAGGTCTTCGTCATCGGCGAGAAGGGCATCGAGGACGAGCTCAAGTCCGAGGGCGTTTCCTACATCGGCGGCACCGACCCGGCCTACCGTCGCGACATCGAGGAGGCCGACTGGAAGGGCCTGGCCGACGGCTCGGCGCTGGACCCGGACGTCGGCGTCGTGCTGGCCGGGCTCGACTTCCACATCAACTACCTCAAGCTGTCGCACGGCTACCAGTACCTCCGGCGCGGCGCCGTCTTCATCGCGTCCAACACGGACAGCACGCTGCCGCTCAGCCACAGCTTCTTCCCCGGCGCCGGCTCCATTCTGATCCCGCTCGTCAACATGATCGGCCGGCCGCCCCTGGCCCTCGGCAAGCCCAGCCAGGCCATGATGGACGCGGTGGAGGGCAAGTTCAAGCTGGACCGCGCCCGCACCTGCATGATCGGCGACCGCCTCGACACCGACATCAAGTTTGGCATCGAGGGCCGCCTCGGCGGCACCCTGGCCGTCCTGACGGGCGTCAACGGGAAGGGCGACTGGGAGAAGGAGGATGCTGTCGCACGCCCCTCGTTTTACGTAGACGCTCTGAGCGATCTTCGTGGGCCCTAAGGGCGGGCGCTGGTTTGATGCATATGCACACTGGAGACGGGTGGAGTGATTCGCTAGGCAAGACGCGATTGGGATTCTATAACATCTAGACTAGAGTGGGTAAGAGTGTGGTGGAGGAATCACCACCACTCAGGCAATAGAGTTTCACCGGCACCGCCGAGTGCTATAAACACTGTTGTACTGATCCTTCGCCACGAGCCGGTCAACAGCCTGCCACAGCCCTCACCTCGCCTCCATTCCCAGTACTGCTGAGCTGCTGAGCAGCGGGGGAAGAGATGGAGACGCCGAGGCAAAGAAGGGAGGGCTGGCAAGTCAGCCGGAGCTCCCGGTCTCGGAGATGGGCAAATTCACCTTCAATGCTACTCCAAGTACCGATAAGTCATTGCTGCTGTAAGTAAGCGGGTCGTTGGCCCGCTTACTCGAAAGCTGCCCCGCCACCCGTTGATGAACCCCTCATGACATATCCAGTGACGACATTGCGAGAATCTTCGCGTCGCTGGAACCAAAATTCCACATTGTCCGAAATAAAGCCTCAAACCACCCCGCCCTTCATATGCCTATAACTATATCTTGTCCCTCTGCACATTCCTTTCGAGGGAGGTGTTGGCTTTGCCTTGCTGCGCTTGACATGGAGTAGTGACGACTAAAGATGTCACCAGCTCATATGTGCCTACCACTCACTACCATGCAGACGGACGGCTACAATAATTCACTTCAGCTACCCGGTACCTGGCTGATGGGGGTTCGGCCGCTAAGAAATTGCCGGAGCATTTGATCCTGTCTCACCTTGAGCGTTTGGACTTGGGTTGAGCGAAAAACCCAACCCAGGGCAGAGGGATATGCAGGCTGCGCCGCGGGCGCCAACTCAATTACACACATCGACATCACCGAGAAGGAGCACACTACCCACTCGCCCCCTCAATAATCAACAAGCCGCACTTCTCGCTGCTCCCCATATATCAATGGTAGATACCTGCCGTAGGTACATGGTACCTAGGTATAGACGGACAGACTAGTCGGGTGGTACCACGGCCCGTTATCGCTTACCCGTCCAACAGCACCCGCGGCGATAAGCAGAGACGGGGGTGGACAAAACCGACGTGTGGTTCCATTTTCATCCCACCACGTTTTTGCCCTGCATGACCGCGCTCAAATCCACAACTCGACGCCTCGAAAATCCCTCTTTCCCACTCTCTCCGCCTCCAGAGCATCCGGAAACGGCTTTGGAAGGGATCCGTCTTTTTGGTTCTGCAGCTACCTTGGCCCACGACTTCCCCATTCTTTCAACCTCGACTGCGAGGCGTGGTGGAGCTGCTCGTAAGCTAAAATCGGACACTGAAAGCAAGCACGTTCCGCAGGAATTTGGCGGCCGACCCCTCCAACCTCCAACCCACATCGCTTCCTGTTACGACACTGCCTGGGTAGGTAGGCATACCGACCTCACCTTCGCTGCGCACACCAACCAACCTCGCCCTACCCAGACGCCCAAGACACGCGCAAACACCCCCGCAACAGCCTCGCCGCGTGCCCCCCGCCACAATGGGCAAGCAGGCCAACCTATACTCCTTCCCGACCGCCGAGGCGCTCGCGCCCGCGCTCCGGTCATACGTCATCCAGTGCCAGGACGCGGGCATAACGCGGCACGACGTCTTCAAGGTGGCCGTCTCGGGCGGCTCGCTCCCCAAGTCGCTGGCCCAGGCGCTGCTGGACCCCAAGGGCGCCGGCCAAGTGCGCTGGGACAAGTGGGAGATCTTCTTCGCCGACGAGCGCGCCGTGCCGCTCGACCACGACGACTCCAACTACGGGCTCGTCAAGAAGGAGCTGCTCGACCGCATCCCCGCCAGCCAGCCGCAGCCCACGGTCCACGCCATCGACCCGGCCCTGCTCGGCGACACGCAGGAGCTGGCCGACAGCTACGAGCAGGTGCTGGTGCGCAGCTTCGCCAGCCGCGACAGCGTCAAGCTGCCCATCTTCGACCTGCTCCTGCTCGGCTGCGGGCCCGACGGCCACACGTGCAGCCTCTTCCCCGGCCACGAGCTGTTGCGCGAGACGAGCGCCTGGGTCGCCCCCATCGAGGACAGCCCCAAGCCGCCCCCGAAGCGCATCACCCTTACCCTTCCCGTCGTCACCCACAGCGTCCGCGTGGCATTTGTCGCCACGGGCGCCGGCAAGAGGGACATCATGAAGCAGATCTTTGACGGCGACGCCGGCCTGCCCTGCGCCCTCGTCAACCACGGCGCCGGCGACCGCTGCTCGTGGTTCGTAGACAACTCGGCCGTCGAGGGCGTGTCCTACCCCAAGAGGAACTTTAACCTGTGATTGATGGGAGCAGGAGATTGTCGGGTCGAACCACGAACAAGATAAAAATCCAGAAAATCACCCACCCTGACAAGAAACCCAGGCGCATGCTCCTCTCCCTCTGTCGGAAGAAGAAAAGGGGCCGGGGGCTTCGCCCCAGGGCACGAGATATGAAACTGGAATGGCCATGAACGAAGAAGCCGACCCGAATCTGCAAATTTTGGCAAAGTTCGCAAAGTACGGAAAATAAATCACAGGAAAAGGTCAGAAAATGAGGTTGACTCTCAGGAGTCACAAGAGCATTCCATCAATGGCGCTAGCGAGCAAGGAAGGGTGTGGTCACTCGACCACCCAGTCTCCTCGGCAAGCCCAAACCAACTACCCGCCCTGCCTGGGAGGTGAGATATAATGAGACTTGCTTTGTTGAAAGCACGGACAACTACCTCTCGACTGTCTCCTTGCGCGGCCATATTTCTTCACTCTTTGATTTTGTTCTGGCCCATCCCTCCACGACATTTACGCTGCTGCTTTTCATTTTGTTGTAGTCATTTCCTATTCCCCTCAACCTCTTGTTTTTTTTTTCTACTTCTGGTAAAAAAAAAGAAAAAGAAAGAGAGAGCGGCGGTTGCTCGAGCATTCTCGCATTCGGTTGCGAAACGGAGTGAGCTTACCTTAGATATCCCAGTCCATGTATGTAACGACTGCTTCCACTCAAGCATTGACTGTTCACAGAAGGGCTGTACCCCTTCCTAGATCCCACAAATAGTCTTAAAAAAGACGCATTTCCCATTGCACATTCCGAGACTTTGTAGCATCCCTCGCGTGGCTAGACGGTGTCAAATAATTACTTTCAGAGTACAATGCGCTATTCCGTGAGTGCGAACACCTCGAATCCTCAAGCTGTGTACTTCCCCCATACTTCAACACTGGATCCATTACTTGGCCATCCTCTTCTCGCGAATGTAAAAGGCTGCGGCAAAGGCCAGCCCGACCGGGACAGCGTTCCCGCCAAACACGGCCGAGACGGCGATCCGGTAGCAGTCGCGGACTATGGCGGCGAGCTCCGGCCCGAGCTCCTTGATGAAGTCGAGGCTCTCCCGGACGCGCTCCCCGATCCGCGCGGCCTCGTCGCCGTCGCCGAGCCTGGCGGCCAGCTGCATGCGGAGGACCTGCTGCAGGAGGGCCGACATGAGGCTCACGCCGATGGCGGAGCCGAGGGATCGAAACAGGTACGAGCAGGCGATCACCACGGCCGTGTCCCCTTGGGCCGCGTTTGAGATGAGCGCGACCAGGGTTGTGGTGAGGGCTGCGGTTTTGAGGAGGGGGTAACGTCAACAAACCTGTCCTTGGACAACGGCTCCAAAACAAACAGTGGATGAAGACAGAAGCATCTTTCGACATACCAGCGCCTACACCAAACGACATCAGCGACAGGCCGACGGTCGTGCCGGCCTTTGAATCCGTCAGCAGGCCCGAGAATAGAACCAGGGTTATGCAGCTGGACAGCATCACGGCGTGCGACGCCACAGTCAGCCAGTAGTACCGCCCCGTCCTCTTGATGAGGAAGCCTGCGCCGAGGGAGCCGCACACGCCCGATATGGAGCCCGGGATGAACTGAATCCCGGCCTGGACGGCAGTCATGCTGAAGTAGGTTTGGTATAGTAGCGGCAGGAAGAACCACTGTTTTCATGCCGGTAGTATTAGCATTGTCAGAAAGGGGCTTCCAAACCTCAGCGGCCAGAGTGAGGAGTGAGAAGGGGAGGTATCAATCTTGAGAAAATAAAACTTACCACCGCCATCTGTCCCGCGCTCCCGAAAAAGTTACAGGCGTAGCACGCAAAAAGAGATCGATCAAAGATGATGTGGCCAGGAGCAAAAGGATGAGAGGCAACCCTGACCTCGACCAAGATGAATGCTGCAAACAGGACGGGGGTGGCAGCAAGCGCAGCCACGGTGGAGGTCTCGCCCCAGCCTTGATTGGGACCGCTGTCGAGCGCCAGCAGCAGGCAGAAGACGGCGGCGATGAGGCAGGCGGCGCCGAGGAAGTCGACCTTGGCGAGCTTCTCCCGCCAGTGCGAATGGTCCACCCTCGGGAGCTTCAGGACGACGTAGACGGCAATAAAGGCCACGAGGCATATGGGAGTCTGTCCGATGAAGGACCTGATTGTTGGTTTGGGGGACCGAGGTTAGCTCTCAAGCCGGAAGGGGGGCTTGGCGGGTTGTAGGACGCCGGGGCGGGCAGCAGACTCACCACCTCCAACCGACGGAATCTGCAAGCAGCCCGCCCAAGGGCGCACCGGTCGAGGTGCCAAGTGCAAATATGATGTTGATGTAGCCCTGCCAGAGGCCTCGCTCCCGGAGGGGGACCAGGTCGGTGAGCAGGATGCTGACGACGCTGTTCATGCCACCGCCACCGATGCCTCCGATGGCCCTGGCGATGATCATCTCTGGCGGGTGAGGGGTGGCGGTAAGCTAGGCGTCAAGTTCGGGGGCTACAAGAAGTCACGAGAAAGTAGGTAGGCGGGCGAGAGGAATGCTCACGGTTCATGTCCTGGGCCAGCCCGCAGCCCAGGCAGCCCAGGCCGAAGACGAGGTACGAGAAGAGCAGGCACTCCTTGCGGCCAAAGATGTCGGAGAGCTTGCCGTACAGGGGCTGGAAGCTCGTGAGGGTCAGGAAGTAGGCGGTGGCGATCCAGCTGGTGCTGTTGAGGGCCTCGAGGTCGCTACCAATCCTGGCGTAGGTGGCGACGGCCAGGAGTTGGTCCAGGGCGCACAGGTAGACGCCGATGCCGATGGCGGGGATCAGGACCTTCATGTTGAGACCATGCATGGCGGCGGCGGCGGCCCGTGACTCGGCACCACCCTCGGCGCCGGCTCCACCTCCGCCACCGCCTCCGATGGCGGGGCCCGGGAGGCCGGTGTCCTCGGCCGTGCTGACCACCCGCTCGAGAGCGCCGCCATCGTCCAGCAGGTCCGGATCTGAGGCGGCGTAGGCCCCGGGGGATGCCGCCTCTGGGTCTTGGCACGTACCGCCGTTCGGGTCACCGCCGAGGAGCGGGCTCCGTTCGGTGGCATCGCCTGGGTCAACGATTTCACCCGGCATCGTGGCTGGGGGAAGTCCTTTGGCGCAGAAATAAGTACCACAGTGAATTGATTAATAAAGCAGCGCGAGGAGCACCAATCGATAATGCGGACAAGGAGAAATCATGAAAGTCATTCTTGGGCGAATAACACGGGATGGAGACGGTCTGCGGTGGGGGCTGGGGATTGAAGGGATGAGGTCATGCCCAGAACATTGACATTGGGTGGATCCGCTGACGGGAGTTCCTCTTTGGGAGTTCCTCTTTGAGACTGGCTCCAATGACCAGCGCTGGCGAGGCACACCGAGGCACACCGAGGCACAAGGCGACAGATAGTCGAGGGTCCTGGACAGGGCTTCAAGACTCTGATCACGAAGGGGGAAACCACATAGAAGATTGTCGCAGCCCTTGACGGTTACCATTGATTACATGGCGAGATTGGACAGCATATGCCATGATTTAACATCGTGATACGACGCTGAAGTAAATCTTCTAGAATGATTGAACATAAAGAAGCACTGCGAGGATATGAATCGAGGCATCCACCGTGTCCCGGACAGGCCGGGCCTGGGTGCCCGCCGCCGTCGACAGCACAGCGAGGCTAGCCGCATGGCCACGGTGTCGTCCGCTCCCTTGGCGCGCTCTCCGAGTTGCCAAGGGAATACGAAGCATGAAGCGTTGGTGAATGGCGGGAGCAGATAGTGCAGCCTCGGGCCCTAGCACTGACAGACGGCGCAGAGAATGGACGTAATCAAAAGGTCAATGCGGCTGGTGTTGATAGCAGCAGTCGGGTCGGACGAGCAGACGCCGAAATGCCATGCGAAGAATAAAAGTGCGACCAACTAGTTCGACACGAGGTTTAGCTATCGGGAACCTATCGGGAATGTGGCACGGTGACTCCTCTGCCTTGGTTGCAGGACAGAGGCTTCTTCTTTGCGCGTAAAGTGTTGCGATTCTGGAATCATGATGTTGACGAACAGCGCCGGGAAAAGGAAGATGGAAAAAGACCTAAACCCTTAATTTCAGATTAGGCCTCGCCACTTGGCCTAGAAAGTCTGGCTGAGGCTTGACGAGAAAAAACACCCTTGTGGCCTTCGCCCCTTATGGGTCCCAGGTCTATTCCTGATGGATGCGACCAGACGAGACCCTGCGCAGATCAGAGAGCTGCGACCGCTTAAGCGAACCCAATTGTGTCAATGACGCACTGCCCGGGCCCCCGGGAAGGCACAGGAAGGGGGTGTCAATCGAGGACGACTGCTCAATGCCGGCACGCTAGGTGCCCTGATGGGTGGCAGACACATTGGATGCAACGTGGAAGAAAAAAGAAAAAGAGAAGGCGAGAGTGTTGGGAGACGGCAGAGAGATGCCATTTTCTATGCCAGCGCATGGCTGGCTGTTTTTGGCTGACGTCGGGCTTTTTCAGTGTTTATCTCTGCATTCCCCGATTTGAGACAGGCACACGGTAGCAGCATAGAAATTGGCCCTCCTGACGGAATAGGCCTAGCACGCAGCGACGCGGCCTCGCCACGGTCGCCTACGCACGCCGAAGCGGCCTCCCTCTGGCTCGCCGATAATTGGAGGAGCTGGTGGGTTTCACCATTCCAAGGGGGCGTGGATGGATGGAGCCGGGGGAGCCACTATTGGCCCCCGATCAGGCCGCCGTCGCTGCATGCACGCGGCAGGGCTAGCGGTGGTAGTGTGGTTGGTGATGCAGCCAGTGGCAGCCCACCGAGCCAGCAGCCAGCAGCCAGCAGCCAGCAGAAAACGGATGGAGCCCTCCCTCTCCCAGCACGCTGGCGCAGCCGAGAGATGCATCCATCATCTTGACATGCTCCCCACACACACCCTCTCGACGTGCCCCAATTCTTTCCCTGCTTGCCGTCGAACCTCCATGGGCCGAGATTGCATTTGTTGATAACAATTAACAATTTTACCAGGCCGCATCCCTCGACCGCAAATATATCGACGACACGCCAAGACCGCGTCTTGCAATAGCTGGACGCAATAACGAACGAGTGAGTGCGCGCGCATGTTGTAGAGTGTCTGGTCCGCTCTTTCTTGTTCCAAGCCCTCTTGTTCCAAGTTTCGCCCCCTCTCTCCACCCGCTGGTTTGGTTGGCCCCTTTGGATCACCTCCGTTTTACCGCATCCAGAAAACCATCCCATCGGCCCCTTGCCTGACGCACGCCAGTGCCACGCAACCTTGCATTGGGCCGGGAAGTGCAGCAAACTGGGGCCAAGAAGCAGGAGAAGGAGACGGAGGAGGAGGAAAGAAGCAAAACGCCCACAGTATTGTACCACGGGCACGAATTCGCAGGCACCGCCGTTATGGACTCCCTCCAGCCCCCGAGGAAGGGCAGGTCGCGCTTCTCCAAGGCCCTACCCGCGCCCCCGCCACTCGAGAGCTTCAGCAGCAGCTTCGACGACCTGCAGCACATGTTCCGTCCGCGCACCGCGGCCTCGACCACCACAACCAGCCTGGCCAACGCCGTGCCTACGCCTCCGCCCGAGGCCAGCCAACCGCCTCCTCCTCCTCTTGACTCGCCTCTGCAGCGACAGCTGCTGGTGTCCCCCAAAAACCCGGGCCCTTCGCTGCCCATGACCATACCCCGGCGCCCCGTCGCCCTGCCGAGCTCCCCGGCACCCCTTCCCAGCACCCCCAGGCCCTCTCCGAAACCACCCACAACCACGGCTCCTCCAGCACGGACTCCAGTGGGGAAGTTGTCGTCACCGTCCTTGCCAGCGCCGCCGCGCGCCGCGCCTCTTGATGATGAGCCTCCCTCGCCTACAAACTCCATCCTCAGCCTTTTGTCCGCGTACTCGGGGTCGTCGTCAGGATCTGCTGCGCAGAGATCATCCGAAGCAACCGTAAGCACAGCGGCATCGTCTTCATTCGTCCCCCAATCGCCGCCAGGCGCCAAGAAGGCCCTCTCCCCATTCACGCTCCCGCCACTCGACTTCAGCGAGCCGTCCAGCTCAGAGAGCATGGCTAGCTTCGGCCAGCCGCCCACACCGCCCATGAAGGACACTGAGCTATCACTCCCACCGCCGCCTCCCAAGGACAAGGACGTGGCTCGCTCGGGCTGGTTCTCCAGCTTCTCGTCCCAGAAACCCACGCCCACGCCCGCGCCCACTGCCACAGCCACTGCCGCGCAGCCACAATCGCAGGAGGAGCCAGAGCTCTGGAGGAGAAGGTTGGAAAAGACGGACAAGCACATCGAGGTGTCGGAGCTCAAGTTGGGAAGCAGCCACGGCTCGACTGCAACCTCTGCCGAAGTTCCCGTGCCGCCACCCAAGGAGCAAAGGCCCGAGCCGCCCAACAAATCACAGTTCCTGCAGACGGGCACCAGCACGAGTTCGCTTGCCGCCGACCCGAACTCTAAACGGCTGCCGCCAAAAAGCCCGGCCGGCGGCCTGCCGGGAAGGAACATCCGTCCGAATCCCACTGCTGAAACCTTAACCCAAAACGACGACATCACCACTATGGGTTCTGCCCTATCAAAAGCTGAGGCGAAGATGAAGCAACGCCGCCCGGGTGACGGGGAACAGCCGGCCGTCAATGGCAGCGCCGACGTGGCGAGGCCTAGACCAGACGACGGCACGAGTCGCTGGCAACAGCCGCAGTCGCAACCGCCATCGAACCTGCCCGCCGCCGCTGCCGCCGCCAAGTCCCCGGTCGTCACCCAGCACCCATCCACCATACGCCGCCTGCCCACCCCGGACTACGAGCAGCACGACATCAGAAGCCCTATCGTTGAGCAGATCGTGTCACCCGTTTCGCCCGTATCTCCCGCATCATCTCCGGACCTGGCCCCCCAGCAGCCCGTGCCCAGGAAACCGCTCCCATCCACCATCATCCCGACTGAGGCCCCGGCCCTGCAGCGGGAAGACGTCCCGTCGCCCATCAACACCGCCCCGCCGGCCCCAGGTAGCGCCGGCCCCGGCAGGATGGGCGGCAACTTCTCGTCCTTCCCCAAGTCGCCCGACGCCCGGCTCAAGCCCAAGCCGTCAAATGCCACGCTCGTCGAGCGGCCTGCGCCGCCGTCGGTGGCTGCCGCTCCCCCGGCACCAGTCACCGGTCTGGGGCTGCTGCAGCCCCTACAGCCACACTACAAGAGCATGCTGTCACCGACCGTCGACACCACTCCGGTTAACGGCAATCAAAGTCAGTTCCCAGCCAGGACTTCATCCCGAGGCGCCGAGCTGCCGACATCTCCGATACTGCGCCACCCGGCAGAACAGCCCGCTCTTGCCCTGGATACCGAATCCGTTTCCGAGTCCATCACCGCGGCCTACTTTTCTGCACCCAGCAGCCCATCCACCGTAAAAGCGCAGCCGCCGCCGCCGCCTTCGCAGCAGCAGCAGCAACAACAACAACAACAACAACAACAGCCGCAGCAGCAGCAATACCACCAGCCGCCGCCCGGCTCCCGGTCCTCGGACAGCTCGAGCTACAAGGAGCTGGCGCAGACGGACGACTTCAACCCCGCGGCGGCGCGGTTCCCCTCCATGGCGGCCGCCATGGGCTCGGCCCCGGCCGCGGGCACCGTCTTCCAGATGCGCGGGCTCAAGCCGTCGCACTGGGGCTGCGTGCACAAGCACCGCTTCATGGCCCCGACGCCAAACAGCAACTACCCGCTCGCGTGCCAGACGTGCGCGCGCGAGGACGCCGAGGACCGCTTCCGCTGCCGCTTCTGCTGGCTCCGCGTCTGCGCGCCCTGCAAGGACGTCCTGGCCCAGAACAAGGGCGACCTCGCCGCCCTCATGGCCCGCGTCAAGGAGGCCGGTGGCCAGCCCGCCCCCGCGCCCGCACACAGGAACGGCAGCGCCTTTGCCAACGGCATGCCGGCCTCGCCCGTCGTCGTCTCCCCAATGTCCCCGCAGGCGGTGTACTGAGGGCATTATTATGTTCTCCCGAGAGCCCTGGAGCTTTCGTGTTTTTCTGTACCTTGAAACCTTGTTTTCTCTGTCTTGTTTTTTTTTCTTTCGTTCTCTCTGTAGTCCTCTCCCTACGGGGAGTTGTCCCGAGCTGACAATGTAACGCCCGCGGCGTGGAAAACATCAGGTCTCGAAGGGGGAAGGCGCACGTACGCATTTTGTGATACCTACAATGGGCAGGCAGATGAGGAGGCGGTGGGCCAAAAAAGGATTTGGGGATTTGGTGAGGACAGCAACACGAACAATGGTTTTGTTTTTCATCTCGGCTGCTTCGGTTTTACATTCTGGATGGGGGGTAGGTGTTAAAAGAGGTTTGGGGTTTGGCTTTTATTTTTCTGCTGCTCCGCCATCATTTTTCTTCCGTACTTTGTGGATTGGCATAAGCATTTCGGGGTTGGCGTCTCCAACCGTTCAGAAATCATTTTACTTTGTTCTCACCTCTCTGTCGGCGACGTCTCAAGAGCAAGTCAGTGCTTGTAGAAGGCTGATGTCTTGGCTTCCACCCGATGCTAACTGATATTGGCGGGATGGCCTCCGCACTCGGAGCCGCCGTCCTGCCCCTGCCTCGAATTCCGATTCACCTATATATGCCTCCCGCAAGGTTCACCAGAGGGGCACAGATCTGCCGCATGTATTCCTGGTTCGAATTCGCGGCCGTGCCGGCGAGCCTCTCAACGGCTTCCCGGAGCAAGCGGCCGTTCATGGGTGCGTAGGCCATGCCCTCCGACTCGCTCCCCATCGCCGTCACCTGTCTCAGCAGCTCGCTGCAGGCGCCATCCAGAAGGCGAATGGAGCACTCCAGCTCGGACGCCCGGGATGCCAATCTCTACATCGACTGTGATTGCGCGCCGCACTTGAGAGCGAAATCGTGCATGTTGGCCTCGACGGCGGCAAAAGTCTTTCGCCTCGGACGCGAAGCCCTTGCACTCCTCCTGGCTTTGACTTGTCATGCAGACGAGCTTGCTTCTCTGCTGCTTCATGTTGCTCCGCCTCTCCCTGAGCTCACTGGTATGGCGAATTTCTTCTTGGCTTGTGTCTAGATGCTTATTATAGCACATTTCCTGTTTCGGCCGGCTGAGGGTCTGGTCCACCCCGAGTCGGTTACATACCTACTAGGCGCGGCACCCAGCGGAAGCACATTTGTCAGCCAGCGCACACGGCGCCTTGGCCGGGCTATAATCCGCTTTGCTGCAGCAAACGTGAAGTTCCCCACTCACCATTATCCCGCCGCATACTTTTTGGCTCATGGCCAACCAACCACGCTGCCCCTCCACGCCAATACCTGGCGCCTGCCACCTTACCTACTGTGTAAAATCGAGCCCCTGAATATCTCCTCCCACCGTCCGTCCACCAGCAAGCAGCCTTGCACCATGTCCGCTGGCCAACAACAGCAGCATCTTCCGCCCGACAACGGCGAGTTCTGGCTCTTTGGCTACGGGTTCGTCTTCTCCTTCTTGCTGGCACACACACACACACACACACGATGTTTCCCCACGTCCCCTCCCCTCCCCTCCCCTCACCTCCCCTTGACTACGCCAAAAACCCAACAGGTTCCGAGGAAAATCTCCCTAACCTATGTGTGACGTATACAGAAGCCTGATATGGAAACCGCCGCCACACTTTGGTAATTACAGATACACAACGCACCGGATGGGCTTTATAAAAGGCAACACAAGTAGCCCGCCCCCAGCTGACTGACCGGCGCATGGCCGGGCAAAACCAGATCGGCGGATTCCCGGCTTCGTCACGGGCTACGTCCGGCGCTTCTGGCAGGTAAGGTCTTGATGCCGTCAATAATTCTCCCAACATGGCTGTTTGGACCGCATGCTTTGCCAGCAGCAAGACCCCTCCCGTCTCTTCTTGCACCCGGCCCGGGCTCCTTCTCTCGTGTTCTAACATCCCTTCTAGGCGAGGTACGGCCATCTATCAGCTCTTTTTGCGTCCCCCGGACCCATAACCTACCAATGTATCTTTGCTTGAAAAGCCCCTCCAGGGAGCATTATAAACATCGTAGAGCGCTTCCATTTCGCAATCAACTTGTCGGCATTAACTCACACCTATCGCACAGCCAAGACCACAGGGGGACGCCCGACAAGCCCGGCCGCGTCGTCACCCTCCTCGAGCGGTCGCACTGGGAGACCCTGACGGACCACCACGACACGGCGCCTGACCGGGTCTGGGGCACCGCCTACCGCATCGAGGCCGACAGAGTCGACGAGGTCAAGGAGTACCTCGACATACGCGAGATCAACGGCTACACCATCCACTACACGCCCTTCCACCCGGCCGACGGCACCCCCGGCCCCATCCGGACCCTGGTGTACATTGGCACCCCCGACAACGACCAATTCGTCGGCCCGCAGGACGTCCAGGCCCTGGCCGAGCACATCTCGCGCTCGCACGGCCCTTCCGGCCCGAACGTCGACTACCTGCTGTCGCTACACGAAGTACTCGAGGGGTTGAGCCCAGAGAGCGGCGACGAGCACGTCACCGACCTGGCCCAGCGCGTCCGCTTGTTGGCTAACCGCACGCTCACCGGCGACGCTCCTCACGAGTTTGAGCTAGCAAAGAGCATAAAAGAGCAAGAAGAGACAGAGAAGTAGTGCAATAAAATGCAAGCGGGGATGTAGAGAAATCAATCCGAAGAAGGAAATAGAATAGACAGACTTTCCATAACCCGACGTCTCGCTCACGGTGCTGACGGCAACTCTTTGTCGTCGCGAGGCTCCCCAAATCCCTTCAAGTCTCCTACATAACATTCCCTTCTCTCAAAACCCGGCCCCCCCTCCCCCCATTCGTCTTTTGAACCCAATCTCCCACCATTCTTTGCCGGACTCCAAACGAGGAAAGCAGAAAACAATGCTCGATTGAAGAGTAGAAAGGGGCAACCGGCTCCGTGGAACACCAATAAAGTACGTTGCGAGACCCGAGAGTAAAAGGCACACAAAGAGGTGACACATGGGAGGGCTGATACATAGGCCCACCGTAAATGGGAAGGGAAACCAAATAGCCATGAGATGTAGGTATCATGGAAGAAACCACCAAGGCAAACGCAGCAAAGCAAGTTAAGAAAAAACCACGCATGACAGCTTCCCCTCACAGAAAGTAACGACTCAGATAACATCCGAAGGACAGTTGGTCTCGTTCGTGTTGTCCGGCTTGCCTGTTGCGGTCAAGGCACCGGCGGACGGGTATCGTATCGCACTACACCGCGAGCAAGAAGATAGGCGAAAAAAAAACACTTTTTTTTATCAGAACACACGCTCCCTCTCTCTCCCGCTCCCTAGCGGGCCAATCGGGTGTGATATTGGACGGATATCGATCGAACATGCGCGGCGGCTTGTGGCCCGGCCCGGCCCGGCCCGGCCCATTGAAGGAAGAATGCGGCCGCCGTCAACCAACACTCCTGGTCGCGCTCCTGGCCAGAATCTTGCGAGTCATCAGTAGCTGGGGCCACCTGGAGGCGGGTTCTGCGGTGAAACCTGCTGGTGATGGGGTTGCTGTCCAGGCTGGAGGGGCATCTGCGACGGGTCTCCATAGACATATGGGTTCGGGGCTCCGCCTTGCCATCCTTTGTTCGGCATTAGCTCCCCCGTACTGCCTACACATGGCATTCATAGCGAATCAACTCACCTTGGGCAGGCGGGGCGCCGTAGCCAGGTACCTGCGGCGGATATCCACCGCGGCCGTATGCTTGAGCGTACATAGGCTGGGCCGGCATCTGGTACTGCTGAGGATGGACCCCATAGGACATCTGCGGAATCTGTGGCGACGCGCCGTAGCCTCCGCCTCTTCCATAGGCTGGGCTTCCTCGGCCGCCGTAACCGCTTCTAGGGCCTGTATCTGAGGCCTTGTCGACGCGAATGGTTCGCCCGTCGAATCTAGGAGGGAGTGCGAGAGTTAGAGAACCGGTTGTGTGGGGCGAGGCTGCCACCATGGAAGTAGACAGCCTCATAAGGATAGTCCTGAAAGGTTCCCCATACTCGACGTTGTTCATCGCACTGATGGCTCTCTGCGCATCATCCTCGTTGGTGTATCGCACAAAGCCAAACCCGCGGCTGCGGCCCGTGTCTCTGTCCTTAACAACCACCTACAATAGTTTCCCAAGATTAGTCTGGAACCGGAGTGGAAGCTGGCTAGGGATCTTCACGCACGGCTTCTTCCACAGCACCGAATTCCTCGAACTTCTGACGGAGGGTGCCCTCCTCCGTGTGCCATGCAAGGCCTCTGGGCCGAATGTAAGTAAAGATGCATCTCCCCTGAAGATCGGCGCAGTCTGACCGCGAGCTTGGAGTCTTACCCGATGAAGAGTTTAGACATTGTTGATGGTGACAAGACGTGAACAGATCCACGAAAGTAGCCGCCCCCAAGTCTGTGTATTCTCTTGTTTCAGCGATGTGCTGTCTCTTCTTTTCGGATGTACACCGAGTCAGCCTTACGCCAAAAAAAAAAAAAATAGACGAGGCCTCAGTCACCTCCCCTGCCCATCCGTCCGGCCGCGTGGCAAGCCAGCGTCGGAGATAGACAGGACGGCACTCTGGAGGGAAATGCCCCCATAGGAAGGTAATATAGCCGCGTGGGGGAAGACTGGGGAAGAAAATGTCATGTGGAAGGTATGCTTGATATTGAGGCAGCTCGATGGCCGCAGCCCAGCGCTTCGGCTAAAGCAAGCGCGAGAGAAGGGAGCGGAGAAAAGGGGCCGCAAAATGTGGGGTTCGTGCACTTCCACTAGAATCAGGGCTTGCGGGGGATGGAAAAGGGCTCTGATGGTTGACAGCTGTGCGTGCTGGCTTGGATTCGGGATGGAGAGGGCTGGTGGCGGGGCTCGATGGAGGTAGGGCTGTTTGCGCTGTTCGTTTGCCGTTTCGATAGAGGGATTTATGCTCGAAGCAGCAGGCAAGCATGCAGGTGGACAGGCGGGTACCAAACTCGAACGACCTGAAAGGCTGTAAGGGGCCAGTGTAGCCCCGAGCCGGCACCGAGTGTCTGCGCCGGAAGCGAGCGTCAAAGTGTTCCAACCGCAACTCCAAAGTGCAGCTCTCCTGGCCCAGGAGCCGGTGTGCTTCCAGGAGATGGCCGTGGATGAAATGGATAGATTGTGCTGGCTTGCGGTGGTGCATGGAAGAGATGGTCAAGGAGATTTGTTGCTCACATTTTCAAGCAGGTCGCGTGTCCCCCCTTTCTCAAAACAGGCTTAGGCGAGAGTTGACGAGCAAAGAGGCGCGCAAGGAAATGTATAGTCGTCTGTCGAGTGTGTCAGAAGAAGGCAAACGCGGAAGAGGCTCGAAGGCGAGATGGAGGGCAGGCAGCTTGCTAAAGTGTGAAAAGGTTTGCGGCCCTGGATCCCAAGCCCAGAAACCTCGGGGCAGCAGGCAAGCACCCCGACTGGAGCAGCTGCCGGGCCAGCGGGGTAGGTGTGCACCTCACCTATGACGGTAGAGGGAAGGGGCGGCCGAGGATCGCTGCAGACGGAAAGAAGTGGGTGTGGGCGGGCTCCAGCCAGGCAAAGCTGTCTGGTCCTGCTTGGGCCGCGTGGTATCTGGGTCTGCCTACCAAACCGAGGTACATACCAGGTACCTAGGTATAGGATTTGAGAGAGCTCGAAAGGTACCAGACCACACAAGCCCGGCGTCGGTGAGCGTGTGTATGCGTGCGTCTGTGCCCGCACCGCCAGCTCAGGGCGTGACGACTGGTGGTTCTGTCGATGGAGGACTGCGGATGTTTGTCTGCTAGTTCTTGCAGTCAACAAAAGCGAGGAGAGCAGGACCTAGCAGTTTGGCTACCGCGAGTCGGTCGGTGTTGGTGGTAGGAAGCTTAGGAGGTGCAGATGACCGGTTGCTTTACGTGGCCAGCAGTGTCACGGTACCTGCGCGCACTCTGCTTTGTATGTGGATGTGGTATAGACGGACTAGAGGTTATGTGAGGGTGCCAGAGCCAGGGCAGGATGGTACCCAAATCCAAAAGTTGGCGCTAGGGGTCCGCCGTCTAGGTTGCTAGCTCTGGTGCGTGCCCGATTATGTACCGACTCAATGCCTGCAGTCAGACACCAGATGGAACAGGGCGGTGGCCAAGTTGGGAGAGCTTAATGACAGGTCAAAGGGACGAGAGACGGTCGATGCGGTGGGCCTGGCACATTCGGTTTTATATATATCCCCTTTCCTCTCTACCCGCCCAGGACCCTGGGGTCTGGGATGGGATACCCCCTCCGGCAATGGTCGGTGGCATGGCCAGACTGTATGTAGTCGGAGGGGAGACATCTTGGCCGCCTCCCCCATCCCGTTGAGCACCGCTGCAAAGAGAAACGAACGCGCCCCCGCGTTTGTGGCCGGGGCAAGCCGCCGTCTCCATCCTGGCTCGCTGCCTGCATAGAGCTCCATAGGTCGGGCGCACGAAAGGAAGAGCTTGTGGGGCCCTACCGACATCCATGCCCACCCATCCGGGAAAGACCTGTCCATAGCAGATACTCAAATGGCAGGACTGGGTACCTGATAGGTCCCTACCTGTCTGCATGCCTCGTGTCGATGCTTTCTAAAGGATTACTACCTGGGTAGGTAGTGAGTGGTACCCATCCATTTACGCCCACGCACGACCACGGACTGGAATGTGGCCGACGACTGGCCTCCCACCCTCCGACGCCCGCCCTAAGGCGAGTAGGCGGGCCGGCCAGACGAGAAACATGGCTGGTGTCGGCCTGCCGTGATGTGACGGACGTGCTGGCTGGCTAGCTGGCTGGCGAGCTGGCTGCCCGGTTGGTTGCTCTTCTTGCTGGTTGGTGATGAGGGGTGGCATCTGGTAGATTGGGCTGGCGCGGGTCTTAGTCGACACCCACGCACGGCGCTAGTGGTCAGCAGCCGGGATACGTCACTGGCGAGCTTCTTGGGGCCTTGCCCAAAACGGCGTGGTGGAGGTCCACCCGATGTTTCGACCAGCATGATTGTGGCAGCAGGGTTGACCCCCAAACAAGCATCAAACAGGCGAAGAAAACGCAACGGCCCTGCCCACGGCTGCCCCACACCGGGCCGGGTCCCCAGCTAGGTGCCAGGCCATACAGAATGCAGCGACAACCGCGCTTCTCGAGAGCGCGAGAAGACCCTCCCGTTCACGCTCCGGCAATACACAACTGCATGTCGCGCCGAAAAAAGGATAGGTGGGCGCGAGAGCCGTACAGTAGCTCAGGAGCTACTGTGACTCTTCCTTGGCATCAGGGGCTTCATATCTGGTTGGCATCCACTTCTCTAGCGGCCTTTTCACGTGAGTGATGGCGACCCGTGAGGCTGGAGGACAGGAACCGGGCGTCTACATCCATACTATCCCATCTTATTCCTTGCCCTTCTTGCCTCGTTGGTGCAGGAGTGTGACTGGATTTAGATAGGCAAGTGGTACCTACCTAGGACCTCTCTAGGACCAGACCGGGCGCAGTGCGTTTCCGACCGCTCTTTGACCGCTCTACGAAACTATCCGCAAATCCTTCCGGAAAGTGCATGGCCGGGTCAAGTGCGCGATATCGTACAAGGCTGCGGTAGATGGTGGGTGCAGGCACGGAAGTTTGCGTGTTGCACCACGGTTCCTGTCTTTGTCATCCCTTATGCCTTACCTGTTGATAAAATGGTGGGTAATAGATCTACCATATCTAGCATATTTTGGGCCCGACCTGATCCGACGTCGAGCATCTGAACATTTCCGGGGCTTTGCGGTCCACGGTTCGTCAACCATGCTCTCATATTTCCTGCACCAAAGCAGCAATGCAGCCAACTCTGTGCACCTGTGGCATGGGAAGGGGCCCCCTTTTTACCGACATTGGCAAAAATGCCCAAGGCAGGTCTCTCATGCGACTTCACCAGATGGACAGTCGCAAGAGGCAAGACGAAGCAATAGTGCAGCACCCACGTGGATAGCAGGAAGTCTGGAGCCCCTGACCCACGTTTTCGTCGCCGAGTGTTTACTCGATGTTTCTTTTATTCTCTCGCTTACGTTCAGGAGCATTGCAATGCTTTCGAATGGGGCTACATCAGTTGTGATTGGTTACACAAGGGTCATACGTATCGGACTCAGTCGTCCTTGGCTTAAGATTATAGCCGGCCAAAGGTTAGGTACGGAGGTGTCAGGCAAAAGTTTTCGCCGTGGGGCAGGTCGCTCCGGAGGCGAGGCAGGGGGCCGGGGTATGCCACGACCAATAGCCAACGCATAGAAGTTCATAAATGAACATATTTTTACAGCACTAGACTTGTAATTGATTTTGAAAAATGTATAAGCTAGGCCTTATTTGGTAGGAGCTGAACACGCCCTGCCCTGGTCGATACATGCCCCACGGCGAAAACTTTTGCCTGACACCTCCGTAGTACCATCAACCAACTGCCGCCGCCCGTCCATCGCGAAGCGAGTTGACAACACCCCGACCTGGGTGGCTCTCGCTTGACCGTTAGGGTTCCACTTGGAGCGAGACAGTGGGATACGTGGGGCACAATGCATGCCTGGCCAGGGACCCATGGGCGAGACCAGGAAGGAGCAGCGGGGCCGCAATGGAACGCTCGATGGGGTCCTTGTTGGGTTCTGTATTCAATGAAATGCAACGGGATGGAGATCGGCTGGGGCGTCAGTGGCATCACATCAATTGCGGCAATAGGGCCGATGAGTCTATGCCTCCAGTGGCGGTCCTGACAGTTCCGGTCGCCTGCATTTTGGCGAAATGCACTCTCACCTCTGGCCTTTGAGTAGCGGCCTCACCCCGACCCGGATGGCCCAGGTATCAAGCGACAAGCGACCCCGGTCTCATCGGCCGATAGCATCTTGTATCCCCCGCCAGTGAACAGGTGGGACAGAACTCAACGACTTCTAATACAACCAGAGATCGGCGGGATGCCTGCACAGCGCCCGAGGTTGCCACCCCCATCCAGCTGGCCGCAACCGCTCCACCACGTCACAGCCAGAGCTGAAACCCGGGGCATCAACGGGACCGAGATGTGATGAATACGTTGTGATATCTATGTGCGGCGCCCCCCCCTTCGTCGATGGTGCTCTCGTTCAAGGCGTCTAGTCTGTAAGGTAAGGGGGCCAGCAGCCGCAGATTACCTATAAGCGGAAGGCGGAAACGCATCAAAGACAGGCCAAGAAAAAGAAAAGAGTGTTGGGGAACCGTTCGGAGAATTAAAACGGCGGCGAGCCGCCCCTTGCTGCCACAGACGGTCCGGCTCCACAGGAGCCAAAGGAGGCAGAGCCGCAACAAACCATCTATGCAACCTTGACAACCGTAACCGCCCACCTTGATTTTCAAATCGACCCTGGCTCATCTCCATCGACAAGGAAACGACCAAACCCGCCGCCAGCCACCGGGTCGTCCATTTGTCATCTCCCCTTTGCTGGGCGGCGTGCTTTCATTCCTCTATTGGTACTTAGGCAGGCAGGCTCTGTCCTCTGGACTCGCCTCCGCCAACCTTCTTCGCATGCCGCCACTATCATGTGATCAAGGACATGACACGGCACTGAACATGGTTACTTCTTAGCCACTACTACCCCACAATAATGCCAGAGCCAGACCGAGCGCATCCATCATGTCCTGCGTCATCGGAACCGCCACGGCTCGATATCACGGATGCGGCCCGATTCGGTACTCCGGGACAGACGTGCTGAACCACCTACTCGTATTCGGCCAAAAAGAAATCACACCTGGGAATTGCCCCTGCGTCCCGAGCTCGTTACCTAAAGCGCGAGTTTCGCTTAAAACGATGGATCTGGAACTCGACCAATGCCGGGTCAGCGGACGAATGGCCATGGCACAAGCCGCCTCCCCCACCCCAACTCCATGCCGCCTAGCAAGCCATCGCGAGCTCTGCGCAGAAAACGCGGGGGCATAAAGCTGCCCCCCCAAGGCTCCTGAACGGCCACCACCGACAGAAATGGATCCGCCTCGGGGCCTCGCTGATCTGATTTCTGATAGCCGCCATGCATTGAAACATGGTCGGCGCCTCAAACAAATTAGTAAGTACGTACATATCATGTACCCAGAGCTATTCTGAGACATGCTCGCCAATGCACTGGTGAACTGCGGGGTACTTGCAGATCCCGGATGCAAGCAACCAGAGGTTTTGGTGGAGTCGAGTGCCTGTCCATCGGGTTTCCTCAGCGGACGCTCGGTATCCCCAAAGCGATCTTGTTTTCTACGACGCTGGGTGGGATCACTAGCGCATGCAATGTTTTTTTTCCTGCAAAAGCTTTTGTCTCACCGGCATAGCAACAAGCTGCAGAAACAAACAACAAGCAGGCCGAGTGAGAACTAGTGACTCTCCAGGCGGTGTTTATGTCGGTACCTCGGTAGGTCGGTACATGTACCCACTTGCTAGGCCCATATCTCAACACCCTTTCCAAGTTTCACGCACCTTTGCTTTACTTATACCCTAAAGGGACCGGAGACAGGGCCAGGTCATACCAGATTGCGAAGGTCATCATGGTGTTCCGCGGACAACCAAGCATTTAGAGCATACCAACGCTCGGTGATCGTCTCCGAGACAGCGGAAGAAGGGCTGCCGATATGCGGAGCCTAGGAGGTAGGCAACTTGATACATTTGTCAACCCACACACCTATTTCCCATCCCACCAATATGACCATGCGGGCTTTTTTTCAAGTTGTACGCTTTCCGTATGTGCCCACTACTCTCCTTGTTGACTTGATCCTTGTGCGAGGGGGTCGAAGAGTGGTATCCTAGCATGCCCTAAGCTCGTGATCGAACAATCGGGCGCTTGGTTTATTATCTACCCGGTAGATAAAGTATCTCTACTAGCCTCGACCCGGTAAACACGTAGCTAGAGCCGAGGGTTCCATCGATCCATGCACCCGAAATCCCCTGCCAGGCCGTTAACGGAGGAGAGCGGGGGCACGCCCCGACAAGAATCAGTAGCTAGCTCCTACCCAGTTGAGGTAGGTAGCAAGACTTGGTCGATCCCCCGCCACCACTCCACCCAGCGTGTCTTGCCGCTCGACATTCTAGTGGCAGAGCCGGCGAGCTGTGCCATATTTTATAGGCGATGCGGTATGGACCATTCGATGGGGCTGAAGTGAGGTTTTTGCGAATCAACTTGAGCATAGCTTCAACTGCAAGCAAGAACTAGAATGGGTATAGAATGAGTATTCTATATCGATGGATTAAAATGTGCGGAGTGGCCCAAAGACGGCAGAGCCGTGATGGTGTGCAAGATCACAAAAAGTCTCTCTCTGATTCCGCTAAGCTCCCATGTCTTCCGGAAATACCACCTGGAAGATGCCTCGACTGTGGACCACTACAGAACTACCTCACGACGAAGAGCTGCGGCCAATGTGCCGCCATACGGTCCTACCTGATACCGCCTGCAGACTCATAAGGTGTCCATGTGAACTGCCCGAGAGATACCAGATGGCAGGTTCGACCCATCTACAGGTGCCATGTCCTAGACGCTCCTTCCATCCCCAACACAAAGCAAACACTTCAGTGGTGCGGTAGCTTGGTCGCTGCAGAAAGATGGCAGGACTGTTCTGGGCAGCTCAACACCACCCGCACCTACTACATTCAGACACACAGCACAGTCCGACGACAAATAATGCAAAACTTCGTCAACGCTAGGACACCCTCCGTGGCTAGTGCTCTCGCTTCCATCATCATGTTCTCTTAGTTCTCGCTTGCCATCCGCCAGGTGCAGCTCTATTGTCTCTAGACCTTGCTTTTCTTTGCGCCTGCTGCTACACCAGCTACTACTGTTGCTGCTCGGCGCTCTCTTCCGTGCATTTCTCTCCTTTTTTGGCCACCGACACAGACAAGCCGACAGGGCGCATCCTCCAAGCGATGCCAATGAACGGGAATACAGAGCTCGATCTGCATGTTTCTTGGCAGAAAATCAACAAGTGGCGGAAGGAAGTTTTCCCAGGCCTCTCAAAAAACGACTCTCCTCCTAGCATTCAAAGCGAAGAGGCCGTTCACAACACCAACTGGACCTCCGCTCGCGACTACGCCCAGCAGCGGACGAGCCATCATCGCCATTCCAACGCTCCCCCTGATCTCCAAGAAAGATCTAAAAGACAAAAACGAAGCAGAGACGAGGCGCACCTTTCGAGCGACCTTTCGGATCACGCACGTCGCCCTGGGCGTGAGGGACGACCACCCCGCGATTTTGATCCTTCCCATCGCAATGAGCGGTATCAAGAGAGGCGTGGATATACCGGCGAGACGGGAGGACATCGCCCATCGAAGGAGAAGCGCAGGCGCAAAGAGGCTTCCTCTCCTGTTTCGGATGACGGTTCCAACAGCGAGACATCCCCCAGAAGGACATCCCCCAGAAGGACACCCTGCTTCGAGAAGGCAGTCAGACACAAAACTCGCGATGATCGATACGACACTCATCGTGAAGCCGACAAAAAGCGCCGCCACCCAGCAAAGCAGAAGGGGGATAGCCCAAGCAAGGGAAAGCATTCCCACAAGCATATGCCACGGGTCGAGCTCCCGGTCGGCATCATGGCCAAATTCAAATCGGATAATATCCTGGGCAGCAGCATAACCTTGGTGAGTTGCAATATCCTCTGCTTGTGCTAGTCTCCACGCTAGTTCTAATATATACAAAGAAACGCCCAGGCCCAGGCATGTTTGGAACCTACAAGTCTTCCAGACGCCCTGGTAAGCCAGAACCACCCTAGCCATTTCAGCTTGTTTCAATGCTGACCTCCACCAGTCGCCGACCTCGACTTCCACGAGATGAATTTCCTCAAGAGAAACGCCGAGGGTGCCCAAAACAACCCGCTATCTGCATCAAGAGCTCGAGAAAGGAGGCGAGAGGACCGCATCGGCGAGGAGGTTTCAGCGTTCTTCAGGGAAGCGCATCCACCCAATAACCATCATATAGACAAGACCCAGAAGGCCCCGCAGTCAGGCCAGCAGTGCCAGTCTGATAGACCCTCCCAGAGCGACACCAGTTCTTTCCGCGGCCGCTACCACGGTGGCGGTGTCAGGGCAATGGGGCTGGCTGCGAATGAGAGGGACAGCTCGCCGTCCCGAGAGTCGCCATACCCGGACCAATCCGATATGCTACGGAGGCTCAAGCTTTTGGAGCAGATGAATGAGAAGGCGCCCAAGTCGCTGACGCCCTCAAGTATTTCGAAACGGCATCTCGGGCAGCCTCCGGCTGGGATAGGCGCGCTTAGCATGCCAGGCCCTCGAAATACTTCCAGTCCTGATATGTATCGCAGTTATCGGGACGTCGCGTGTGGCATGACGCACCAAGGGCCCCCAACAGTAACAAACAACTCAGAGGGTTCCACGGCGAACCCACCCCCTTGCTCACAGCCCGTGGGGTACAGAGACCAAGGTGTTATGGTAGATCAGAGCTTGGAGGCGAAGGGCCCGCCGCCATTGCAGAGCAGCGTCCCGGCGAGAGCAGCAGGCAACGATCCGGATGGGGAAGCATCCCTTCGGGGGCTCCTCGGAGAAACGGCTTGCCCATCGATGCCTGTCGAAGGGCAACAATACCAAGAGCCGCCTACACGTCCGGTGTCACCAAAGTGGTATTTCGAGTTTGGGAAGAATCCACAAAAGCGCGCAAACGGCTTGGAATTCCCGCTTCCTGATGGTGCGAGCCAGTACAGGGATCACGATGAAGTCTTTCCTCAAGCAGAACACTTCAGATACCCGCCTCCAGCGCCGCGAACCAGCGATCAGCATGTATACCAAAGACCCCCAGGTCAAGCACATCAGCACGAACCCCGCCATCTCGCCACTGAGCCTGATAGCCGAGAACCTCGACAGCTTTTCTCCGGAGCGAGCACACGCTACTATGAGAGCCATACAAAGGGGTTTGACCAGCCCGAGAGCACTGCGATGCCCTCGCCTTTGCTAGGTAATTTCAGAGTCGGTAATCCAGGGGAGCTACCGCGGTTAGACGAGCAGCCATCATCGTGGGCGTTCCTACCAAGAGCGTCAAGCACCACACACAGGGTTGGTAAATATCAGGCGATGGCGCAATTCATCTCGGATCACGAGAATGAGGTATACAGTAAGGGTGCGTCTGAGTATGGCCTTGATCCGGCGGCCCGGGATGGCCTTATGGAAGCGAACAAGTATGATTCTCTCGAGTTTGAAGTTTCAGAGCAAGAAAAGGCACGGCGGTTGGCTTCAGTTCCATACCAGGGAGGGAGAGATGCACCCCAATTCATGGAGACGGAACTGCCCATGGCGGATTTCTGGAGGACAAACCCGTTTCTAAAATAATCAGGTGATTTTGCCTTCTCTCCTTCTAAATCTAGCACAAGAAAGGGGGTGGAGGATTGAGGCGTGTTATTGTAGAAGCGATGGCTACAGACATGTGCTTAAAAGCGAATGGCGAACATGTGAAGGAAAAAAAAGGAAGGGAAAACCAAGGTCCTTGATCATAAATGCTTCGACGCCTCCCTCTTCTCGTTGGCCTGCTTCAGCAGGATGTCGCGCATGTGGGCCCTCTCGTTCCTACTGCCGCCGAGCTTGGGCCCCTTGAGGATCTCCTCCTCCTTGCGGGTGCTGGGCCGCTTGTGGTGGTTGATGGCGGGCCTGCGGCGGCGGTTCCGCTGGGACATGGCCTCGAAGAACTCGCGCCGGAACTGCTCGGCCACGCGGTCGTCGTGCGCCATCTCGCCGTCGCGCTCCTCCTGGTCCGCCATGTCGTACATGTCCACTGTTGGGTGACGCGGTTAGCCGAGAGAGAACGGACAAGATAAAAAATAAAAAATAAAATAAAAAAGGTGTATCAACGCGACTTGTTCCTTACCTTTGTTCTCCCGCAAAAACTCCTCCACCATCTTGTCCCTGATGGCGTCGTCGCTGGCACGGCGCTTCCGGCCCTGGGGGCCCTTTGCTGCGGCGGCGGCGGCGGCGGCGGGCTTGTTGCTGGCGCCGCCCTCGCCGGCCGAGTCATCGTCGTCGTCGTCGTCGTTGTCGTCGTCCTCGCCGCCGCCGCCGCCCTTCATGGTGGCGCGCTGCGTCAGGGCCACGTTGCGCGAGCGCATCTCCTGGCCGAGGTCGACCTCCTGCAGCTTGCCGCGCAGCGCGGGCTGCTGCAGCGCCTCGCCCCGCAGCGCCGTGGCGCCCGGCGCGGCCTGGCCGAGCGCGCCGTCGTTGTCGCCGCCGCCGTCATCGAGGCTGGGCCTCGCCCACTTGCTCGCGAGGGACGGTTGCTGCTGCTGTCGTGCTTGGCCGGTGGCCCTGCTGAAGAGCAAGGTGCCGCCGCCGCCGCCGGCCTTCTCCTTTGCCGCATCCTCCGCCGCCTGCCGCCTAGCCAACTCTGATTCTATGTATTCATCCCTGCTTGATCAGCATGCGCGTTTTGAAAGGGATGAGGGGGGAGAAGCGGAGTTATCAAAAAGAAAAGAAGAAAGAAAAAAAGCCGGGAAACTAACATGTGCCTGTTGACCAATTCGCCAACCAGCCCCGTCTGCGCCGAGAAGCGCTTGCCGACGCCGCCCGCGATCTTGTCGGTCGACACCGGCACCGTCAGGCCGCCCGCCGCCGCTACTACTAGCGCCATCTCGGCATTCTCGGCCGCGTCCGCCTCGGCGGCGGCGGCGGCGGCAGCGGCAGCGGCGTAGTTATCATCGTCCCTGGGGGGCCCGACGTCGGCGCGCAGCTCGACGCCGCGCAGCTTGGTCCGGCGCGCGTTGCGCAGGCGGAGCACCTCTGCCACCGACAGGCCCTTCTCTTCTTCTTCCTCCTCCTCCTCCTCCTCCGCGTCGCTGTTGGGTGCTTCCGGTTCGCCACCCGCTGATGTGTCGGCCGCTGCTGCCGCCGTCGCCGGCGCCGACTTGGCCGAGGTGTCGTCGTCGTCGGCTTCGGCGGCGATCGGCTTCGGGGCGGCGGCGGCCAAGGCCTCGTCGTTGTTGTCGTCGTCGCCGGCGCGCTGCCGGTACGTCTTTCTCTTCTTGCCGCGGCGGAAGAGGATCGGCGCCTCGGTGGCCTCGGCTGGGTTGGATGACATGTTTGCGCGACGGGGGGTTGTGAGAGTGTAGGATGCGCGCGACGAGCTTTGGATGTCGATGGGCTGATTCCGCGACAGATTGTTGGGGATTCGCGCCAAGAGAGGGCCCGGGCTGGGCTTCGGTACCATAGTGGATCCACACATGGCAACTATGAGTGGGGCCACATTGGCCTTCGTTCATGTCGAAGTCGTCTGACATCATCGTCCAGAGCCTCCTATCAAAAAGACAGTACATAAAGAGAAAACCAGCAGGTCTTTGGAATGCAACAAGTAGCACGTACATCCCAATCTTCAACTGTCGATACACAATCATCATGGCGATAAAGAGAGTATGTCATCCGGCCTGCTGTCCACCCGTTCAAGTGCCAATGCCCCTCCTCCTTACCTAGGTTTACTTCCTCGCCCATGGCGGCGCCGTCCAAGGTACCATGAGCCAATGACGGCCGAACTACTCCTGCGCTATCGTTGGGTGAATCGGCCAAGCTTATGAACACTTTTCAAAATCACAGGAGTCGGATTTCGGTATGAGTAGTCATCCCGATACAAGCGATGAAGGTACAATCCGCTGATATGAGCACTGGCAATGCACCCATTTAGCTACTTCACCCGGAAACAAGCCGTCCAACACGAGATAACTGGCTGGGTGCGCAACACCCCCAACAATAAGGTACCTAATTTTACTCGTGGTTTCCTAGTCTGGGCGTTTCTTCTCGTTGCCTGTGACTCTAACGGAATGGCTGTCACGCGACTAGGTCGAGGGCGAGGCCCAGGGAGAGGAGGCTGCTCTGTCCGTCTTCCTCAAAGATGTCGACAAGGGACCCAGGGGAGCCCATGTCGCCCGTCTGGATAAGGAGGACCGTGACGTGGTTGACGGAGAGGCCGGGTTTGAGATCCGGCACTGAGTTCTTTGGGAATGCGTCTTGATCAAATCATGGAATAAGCCCAAAGCCGGGGTGTGGTTTTGAACGAAAGACTAGCAAACAAGCGAGCTTTAATAGTGATACCCAACTTGTTCTAAAAGAAAATCTAGATGCCTTCTAGGTCTGAGCAAAAGCACAAGAAGCCAAGCAACACTCGATGCCGCCTCGCCCAATAATACGCAACATCCAACTGGAGGCGCAAAGAATGTATGGCATGACCGCATGCCTGTATCCAACCAACCATGACCGCCATGCCGATGCCAGCCGTTTGTTTATACGCGTATACCGCCGACCGTGTTTACACCCAAAAGCCCGAAAGGAAGAAAACACACATGCAGCACTACCGCGTGCACGCTAAACTCCACAAACTCCAAGCGAGCAAGCGCAACGACAAAAAGATTAGAAAGAAACTAGACAACGCGTCCTCCGAGCCTCATCGAGTCGAGATACGCCCGCAACAGAACTGGCCACATGTTGGCCACCCAGGCTCCCCGGAACCATTCTTGTCCTTGGTGTCGACGCTATCGGTCAAGCTTCTTGAGGTCCTTCTCATCGACCGTGCTGACGAAGGCGTGCTTGAGAAAGTGCAGCCAGACTTTGTTGTATTTATGTTGCTGCTTCTTCTTTTTCTTCTTCTTGTCCTTGTCGTTGCCTTTATTCTTCTTCTGTTCGGTGAGCGTCTCGTTCCCATGCTGCTCTACCAAGTCGTCCTCTGCGCTGGAAGCCAAGCCGTATTGATCGTCAACATCAACGTCGTCGTCGTCGTCGTCGTCGCCGTAGTCGTCATTGCCGCCGGCATCTCCATCCTCGTCATCATATTCCCCATCCCAGGGCAAATCTTCAGAAGCATCCGAGACTTTCTTCTTGGTCTGCTGCCTGCCCATACGATAGGCTAGCTTGATGTAACTCCGTACCGTCAGGTCCGACATCTTGAGAATCTTGTCCTTGAACGTGCTGTACTCGATCTCGAATGCAAAGTCACGCAGCGGCTTCGACGTGTCCGGCTTCTTGCCGCTATGCTTTCCGTCACGCCAACGGCCGCTGGGCTCGACATCTTCGACTGCCACGTCGTTATTAATATGGGTCAGGTTGGCGAAGTATTGCGTGTACCCCACGAGCGTCAGGGGCTGTGGCGAGTATGCCGGGCCCGGGGGCGCCGATTTCGATGGCGGATCAGGCACGACCAAGTTGGGATCATGGGTCTTGCCCCCCTTGCCGCCTTTCTTGCCCTTCTTCTTCTTTTTCTTCTTGTTTTTCTCAACCTCGACGAGGGCCGCCGCGCGCAAGTCCGACTCCCATTCGTCGACATCCGGCAGACCCAGAGCGTCACTTTCTCGCACAACGGGTCCCGTGGAGACCTCAGAGCCCTCCAACCCGCTGATGTTGTACTCGATGACACGCAGCGTCGGGAAGAAGTTGGGCACTATGCTGGGACCAACGAGAGATAACTGGTACCTCTCGGCCCAACGCCCACCTAGACTGCCTTTGTCTCCCTTCTTGCCCTTGGACAGTTCGGAAGGATCAGGATTGACAGCCGTCTTGGGTTTTGGAAGCTTGGACCATCTGCGGCGAAGCTCCAGCAGATAGTCGTTGGCACCCTGTGCCGTGAGCTCATCATCCATAGAGACGCGGACGCCCTGGTCGTAGACACCGGACGCCACGCTCTGGATGTTGACGTCGTTTGTGTCCTGGAACATGAAATGGTCGATGTTCATGTGACCGTAGAGGGACGCGGTGACAACGTCACGGTATTGCTGCAGCCACAGCGTGTATTTCTGCCAGCAGGATTCGTCCCAGAGCATCTTGCTGTTGGTGCGCGCGGGAGGCACGTGGCCCATGATGATGGCCTTCATGCCGCGGTTGCGCAAGAGGCTCAGCTGGACACGCAGCCACTCGAGCTGCTTGAAGCCGGGCTCCGAGGTGTCGACGCAGTTGTCGATGGCGGCATTGCGGTCAAAAAAGTAGAGGGTGTTGAGGCTGACGACGGCCAGCTTGTTGGGCACGACCTCAACGTAGAACCAGCCGCCGATCTGGAACGAGTGGCGCTGCTCCTCAGGGATGAAGTGGCGCCAGATGCTCGCGTAGCTGGTGAGCCAGCGGTTGGGCCCGGGAAGCATTATGTTGTGCGGCAAGATGTCATTGTTGCCCAGGGTCGGGATGACAGACACCGAGAGGGCCTCGGCCTTTTCGTCAAAGAAGAGATCGCGGAACTTCTGGGCGACAAACTTGTTGGTGCCCAACACCTGCTTGGCGCTGCGCGGGGCATCCTCGTCGCTGTCGTGGCGGGCCGTGTCGCCGGTCCAAATGACGAAGTCGATCTTATCCTTGAGGTTCGCCTCGATCCAGTCGAAGGTGGCGTTCACCAGGGAGAAGGGGGCATCACAGTCGGACGTTTCGGCGCCATAGTAGCCGGCAGGCCCATGGCCACTGTGGCAGGCGTCGTCCTGGTCGGTCGAAGAGTGCGTCTTGTAGAGGGCGTCTGGGTGGAAGTCTAGGGCGCAGCGTATTCACATTACGTTAGTGCCAAGGTCGGGAGTCCAGCTGGAGACTTGGCTGCAGGCCCTGGAGCTGTGTCCGCATGTGCTTATAACCGCAGGACGCGACTCACCAGTGATATGTAGGAATCTGCCCTGGACCTGACGTTTCCTGCCCGTTGCCGCCGACACAGCGTCTGGTTGTGGGGAGCCCTCGAGGACATGCTGCGGTCCGTCCTCGTTGTGGAACAGGGCGGCGCTAGCGCAGAGCGACGCGGCGGAAAGGAGGATCACGCGTCGTCGCATCTCTGCGGGCGAGAACACGCAGCAGCGCGGGGAATGCGCAGGGAAAAGAAACAAGGGTACGAGTGGCAGGCAAAAATTAGGACGAGACACAGACGAAGTCTATCGTTAGATGAAGAACATTCTCTAGGATCTAGGAGCGCGGTCGACCAAGCTGGGGGCACAGTGGGTGAGCAAGGCAGGGCGGACGGGCGATGATGTAAGTCCGAGTTTTGCAGGGGCCGTGGTCGATCGATCAGAAGCCAAGTGCCACAACACACACTGAAGCCATGGGCGGGGTTCCGTGAGACACAGAGATCCTAAAAGACTTTCTCACAGGGAACGACCCTTGATCGCCGAGGGCGGATAGGTATAATTGCGGAAAGTGGAAGAGAAGCTGCGAGTCGTGGGAATGGGGCACGCAATGAGTTGGACACGGCCTGACAGGGGGGAAGTTCGAAGAACGGGAAGGAAAGCTGCGCAAATCATGAATCTCACCAATCCCAGCTGTCCTCTCGAAAAAAAGGACAGAAGATCCCCTTTCGGAGAAAGCCAGCCGACGCGCAAGCAGGCGCCCATCATTCTCGTCATCAGCCAGCCATGATTATGCTGCGTCCCTGGAACGGGAGGTCGGGTGCGGTTTTGGCGTTAGCGCCCGCCGTGGCAGCATGCGGGACAACCACCCGCCATTGAAGCCCTGTGCTTCTCCCCTCCTCTCCCGCTGCTCCCCAGCCTGAGCACAACAAGTGCTGACCCTAGGTCTCCATTGAGGGCGCTCCCGTGTGTCGCTGATGTGAGTTGTCGGAGGAGGTGTCTCAGACTTTGGGGTTTGCGCACTCGCTCATCCCATCCGGTGACAGAGGGTGCCAATACGTGGTGTCAAAAGCGCCACGTGCAAGCTGAGATGAGAGCAGCCCGGAACGATGGCACATGAACACGTCCGGCTGAGAACCTCTTTGGCTGGCTCTGGCTGACTGGCTGACTGGCTGACCCTGACCCGCCAAGGGTCCTCCTGGAGGGACGAGCCGAGATGCGTGCAGCGGTGTGTGCGCGACTTCCGCCTGGACGGGTTAGTTCGTCTACATCAGACTAACCAAACAAGTTCGTTTGTGCATAAACAGACGAGGTGATCACGACAGACGGAGCTGGCTGTTTGTTCCATCTACCCATTGAACTATCGTCAGCTTGCGGCTCTCTTCCTCAGACGCTTCTAC